TCTTGAATTTCATTTGTTGGAAGCAGGAAAAATGGGAAAGCACATCTGAGTGACTTTGACAAGGGCCAAATAGTGATGGCTAGATGACTGGGACAGAGCGGGTTTTTTACTTCACCTGTGAACCAAATGGCATAAACTATTAATATTATTTATATGACACAGTTCCAAGCCCTTTTGGTTCTTCTGATTATTTTTCTTAATATTCTTTTGTCAAAATTCAGATGAGCTAAACTGTGTTCAGATGAGCAGTTTTTTTTAAATTTTGTTAAAATGCACAAAATATTATAAAGTTGTGACTTTTCACTAAATTGTGAATTGTTAGAATTTCAAACTGAATTTAAAGCACATTTATCTAAAAGATAGAAATAAACTGTGACTACTTCAGATTGTCTTTCTCTTTTTCTGTTTGGCTCTGTCCACAGTTACCGCTAGCTTATTTAGTAAGCTTTGTGGCTCCCTAGTCTCCCTCCCTCAGCCTTCCATATCCTAATCACAATTCCGCGATTGCTCTCCCAATATCCCCTTTCCTACTCGTTAGTAATTTTTTATTCTAACTAACCAGTATTCCCGCTAACCGGGAGGTGAAACTGTATAACTGTTACCATTATAGACAAACACAGAGCACAGTCATTTTTCTAACACAGTTATTTCCTAAAGGTGTATAGTTAGAACACTTCTCATAACTTCTTAGACCCTTACCTCTCAGAAACAAAACTGTGATCTACATTAAACCCAAGACAATAGATTTGCTTTTATATTGGTTATGGTGTTTGAAATGTTCCTTTAAGACCATTTTACCATACCTATTAGTATGAACATAATAAAAGTCAAAGTTACAGCAGAGATCTTTTTTTAACAAAACATTTAAAATAGTTTATTGTACAATTATTAAATCCAGACATAAAAACATAATCTTTAGATAAACACCAACTTGTGACCACAAATTAAACAACCGATCATCACATTTGAACAACTTTAAAATGCAGTCATACCATAAATTGTAAATGTTGCCAATAAAATAACAAAGAAACCTATTAGACATAAGGAAATTCAACCGCCTAGGACCGTGTAGTATAGAGAAATTACATTTCTTTATATTCTATCTTTTTGTCTTTAAATATTGGTAAATTTTTCTTATCCAGAGTTCCAATTTTCTATATTTTTGTTTCTACAACTTGTAACGCTAGCTATACCATTTCCCTCTTACATTGTGCAAGCATTTGCTCTAGTGTTTTACATTCCAGTTTCAAGCAATCATTTTTGAAGCCCTAAATTAAAATTCATATGTCCCTCTAAGGACTTATTGCCATTTTTTTCAGATCTATCTTTAGTTTCAGACCATGTTCCCATCTTTTTAGAGCCTTAGGAAAATAAGGACCTTGTAGATCGCTAACAAAATGGAAGCATTTTTAAATTAATTTTATGTTCTCATTTTGACAAAATAATTCCTCCAGTTTTCTTTTATGTTCGCCTTCCTTCATCAGTGATTTTCTAAGAGAAGATATTACCCTCAGGTAATTAAATAGTTAATTTTCCTGTAGAGCATACTCTGAGCAATATGTGAAAAGGCTTCATGTCACCATTTTGTAAGATATCTGATTTTCTTTTTTTCCATATATCATTTTTATTAGAGAATGTTATCAATGCATATAATATCAAAACTGTAAAATTTTTATATAACAGAGTAAACAATTGCTATACGACAATTTACAACTATTTTTCCTAGATTGACAACCTTAGTCATTGTTGCGCCGGCCGCTATAGCCCCGCCCCTTTTTATGATGCGAAAAAGGGGTTGAGACAAGTACTGTGGAAAAGGGGGTGGAGCCAAATGACATTTTGGGGGCATGATTATCATCCCAGACAAATCCAGTCACAATATAAAAAGGCTCCCATGAGTTAGGATCTTTGCCCTGTTGAGGTTCCTCTTGGTTCTGATAGCGCATTATTTTCTTGGTATATTTTCTGGTTTTAAACTTTGGCTTGTCTTGATTACTCTTCTCTCTGGTATCCGTTTGACCCGGCTTGTTATTCTCATTTTTTCCTACCTCAGGCTTCCCTGACCTCGGCTCGTCCTGTTTATTCTCTTTCTCTCAGTAACATCAGTCCAGCCATTCTAAGGTCCACTACTAAGGTTACTACTTTACTTACACTATGTGTTAGGATTCCCCCTCTTCCTGACAGTGCCGATGTGACAGAGGTATGTCATACCCCAGCTCCTTCTCCCATTGCATCATATAGGGCATTTTGTCTTTTGCAGGCCCCTGGAGAAGAGCATTGTAACATAGAGAGAGAGGTTTCAAGTGTTTAGCTGAAAGCATTGAGGGTACATTCACTACCGCTTTGGGAAGTACGTCGTGTGTTGTGTCTAACCTGGAAAACATTAAGTTTTTTACTCTCATGTACAAAAATAGGTCTCTTGGTGGTAGCGAATATTGTTTTTGGAGCACTGGGAATGGTTTGATTTTAACCCACTCTCATAGATCATTCACCTTTTGAATACCTTTTGTGACCCACGATTTAATCGTTAGGTCTTGGAGGATTTGCTCATCAGCACCTCAATTGGTGCAGAATGGAATAGGGAGTCGGGTTTAATAATGGTTGAACTCCAGGATCTCCAAGCTTGTACTAGAAATTTGGAATTGTGTAGCATATGGGCACACTTGAACGCATCATGTTGGACCATAGGGAGCTAGCAATGTTGTGTGGACTTATGCATGCATTCTCTACGGACAGCCAAAGCGGGCGGGGGTCCATATGCGAGAGTCGCAAAATGCGTATTCCTTGAGCTAGCGCCGTGGCCCTATAATAGACCCTGATGTCTGGTAATCCCAGCCCTCCCTTAATATAAGGTAGCCCTAAATTACGGTATGCCACTCGAGGTGGCTTTCGCTTCCGCACATGTGCATTAATGGTAGATTGAAATTGATTAATAAGTTTGGTAGGCAGTGATATTGGCAACGTACGAAAAAGGTAAAGGATGAGAGGCAGGATCATCATTTTTAGAGAGTTTTTGCGACTCAACCAAGAAACTTCTAATTCAGCCCATTTTACCAGTGAGGTTTTTATCGTGTGTAGCAATGGATAGTGGTTTTCTGTTGGAATTGTTTGGAGGGATTTATTAATTGAACCCCTAGATAGGACAGTTATTTTTTCCTCCAATCAAATGTGTATAGATATTCCAGCTGGGTCACTACGGCTTGAGGGAGATTTATGGGTAAAGCTTGGATTTTGGTCGTATTGTTTCTATAGTAGGAGATACTACCATATGTGTTCAGGATTTCTAGTAGCTTCGGAATTTAAGTTGTTGGGTCCGAAAGAAACAGGAGAATATCATCCGCGAATAACGCTAATTTGTTCATACCCCCCGGGGTAACTAAACCTGGAATTTGTGTGTTCTGGTTAATTTGGCATAAGAGTGGTTCCAAGCATAGGATAAAAACAATCGGGGACAGCAGACATCCCACCTTTCCATATATGCAACGGCACACGCTAAGATATCTGATTTTAAAACCTTAAATAGACCACTCTCTCAGATTTATTTTTTCTATTTGATCTTACAAAATCTTTCAAAAGTCCATAAAATTATCAAACACAAGCAATGGGTAATCCAACTCAGGAATATTTTTCTGATCTCCTTCAGGTCTCCAAATTCAGGATAATAGTTTTTGGCTTTTGCCTCTTTCCACATTTTTTGAGTACAAGCATTAGTTTATACTTGTTCATTATGCATAAAGAGTATATGTGCCATTAGACATGCCTCATTTGGCCCCTTTATATCAGGTGCATCAAGCCCACCTTTTTTAGGATTTTGTTTTAAACCTTCAAATGTTATTCTTGTTTTTACTACACCAGATATATTTATTAAATAGACTTGAGACAGTTGTAAACAACTTTCGGAAATTAAGTGAAATCATTCTGAAACAATAAATCAATTTAGGTAATATATATAATCTTATGACATTGATGCAGCCTCACCTGGACATTTCTTTGTGTATCCAGTCTTTTAAGTTTTTATTTGTATCTTTCAATAATAGTAAGAAATTAGCTTGCATTGTTTTACTGGGATCTGACATAAACTATACTCCCAAGTAAGTAAACTAGCCCTTGGTCCAACAGAAGGAGTAATCCCTTTTTAAGTCATTGATTAAATCTTTGTCCAACGGAAGCGCCACTGATTTTTCAATATTCAATCTACAATTTGAGAATAAGCTATATTGATATATTTCTAAAATAAGTTCGCCAACTGATTTCTCAGGATCTGATAGGGTAATTAGTATGTCATCTGCATACATATTTAATTTAGTTGAACCTCTTATTGTAGGGAAGCCTGATATGACCTGTTTTCTCTTACAGCAGATGTAAAAATCTCAATAGACATAATATAAAGCAGGGTTGACAGGGGGCATCCTTGTCTAGTCCTGTTTGAAATTGGGATGGATTTTTACTCTGAATACTCTAGCCCAGCGGTTCCGAAACTGGATGCTGTTCCAAAATTGATGTGCACACAGGGGCACTGCGGAATGTTTCCCCGGTGCTATGATTATAGCACCACACCGGTGGAAACATTACTGCTCAACAGGGACCGGTCGAGTGCCGCTGTCCTTCAAGACCCCGACATGGCCCCTAACTCTACCCCTATCCCTACCGCTACCCCTAACCTAACAATAACCCTATAACCTAACCTCAACCCTAATCCTACCCCTAACCATACCCCTAACCTAACCCCAACCCTAACCTTTAGGGGAGTGTTATGGGTAGGGTTAGAGGTAAGGGTAGGGTTTGGGAATTGCCGAAGTCCCGAATTGCCAAATTTCGGAAGTGCCGAACCAAATTTTTTGCCCATGCACATCCCTAGTAGGCACATTGCCACAAAGATCCACTGCTTAGTGGATGGACGTTACCACAACAATGCTAACTATTCCAGCGCACCAGCCGACTCCTAGCTGTGAAGCTTCAGGTAGAACACTGTGTGGAACGCACTCCGACTTCACTGGTCAACCACACACAGCGAGGACTGCAGCTCTCACTTTCCCCATCCATCGGGAAAACTTCCAAGCAGCTGACATGCAGCACATCTTAAGCTACTGTTGGTACCTCCTTTATTATATTACTTGTCTAAGGATTTATGTTGATTTTACTTGACTAAATAAAATTCTTTTGGATTTCCAAGAAGCACTTTTTCTATCACTACAGTGTTTTTTTCAAGCACACAGTTTAACCAGTAATGTGTTGCTGCTATATCTTTATTGATTTATTGTGAGCTATTCCTGCTGTATTTTTCTTTTTATATTTACTGCACTTTAGTAAATTATATTATTTTAACATAGGGACCACTCGGCTGTGCATTACCCGTATACAGTACAGAGCTTTGTGTATTTTCCCATTTGCTACATTTTGTGGACTTACCTATCCTGTTGGACTTGATATATTGGACTTTTTTAGATATTGACTTTTTAAACTTTCATTGATTATTTGAACAACTATTTGGGTACATATATACTTGAGCCAGAATTCATCTGTTATATATTGTATAGTCCTATCCGTTTTGTTTTTCTTGTTCCTGGAACCCTTTCATCTTATACATATAAGTGACATTCATTTATCTTGAATTTCATGTGTTCGAAGCAGGAAAAATGGACAACTGAAAAGATCTGATTGACTTTGATGATGGCCAAATAATGATGGCTAGAGAACTGGGTGAGGGCATCTCCAAAATGGCAAGTCCTGTGGGGTGTTCCCGGTATGCAGTGGTTAGTACCTACAAAAAATGGTGAACTGGCGTCAGGGTCAAGCATGCACAAGGCTCTTTGATTAAAGATAGCACATCTGATCTGATCACACAGAAGAGGTACTGTAGTTCAAATTGCTGAAAGAAATAAGGCTGGCCATGACATAAAGGTGTCAGAACACACAGTGCATCACATTTTGTTGCATATGTGGCAGCATAGCCGCAGGCTGGTCAGAGTCGCCATAATGATCGCTGTCCACTTCCAATGGGGAAAACCTTGAGTCCTGCCATTCATGCAGATGTTACTTTAACATGTATCACCTACCTAGAGATTGTTGCAGACCATGTACACCCCTTCATGGCAATGGTGTTAACTGATGGTAGTGACCTCTTTTAGCAGGATAATGCACAAGCTCACATTGCAAAAATTGTTCAGGAATGGTTTGGGGAACATAACAAATGATCTGCTGCTAATGTTTTTGGTGCCAGATACCACAGGACATGTTCAGAGGTCTTGTGGAGTCCATGCCTGGCAGCACAAGGGGGACTTACACAATATTAGGCAGGTGGTTTTAATGTTGTGGCTGATCAGTGTATGTAGAGGAGCAGTCACATGCATTGTACATTGTGGCTGTCTGTCACTGCTTCCTGAGCTGTATTCATTGAGTAAGTGGAGATTGCGGTGGGTGAAAGGGATATGACATTACATTCCTTATGCTTCTGGATCAAAACATGCTCCATTGGTAAAAGAGAACATACAATTAAGTAACAAGAAGCCGAAATGAACACCATCTGCCAATGTTCCAGCACCTATATCCCCAACAGTATTTATTTCGAGAGAGAGAGAGACACTTTTGAGGATTCATGTTTTTTATTGTAGAGAAGCAGATTTAAAGCACTGCAATTTAATTTATGTAAAAGTAGGTGAAAATTTACATTGTTTGTTTAAATTAAACTTAATTTATTGATTCACATCACAGAATCAATTTATGTGCAGTTTAGCATTGGAAGCAGTAAACCAGAAATTGTGTTTTACTGGTTCCTTAAACATCTGGAACTGATTATATATTGTTGAAACAGAGTTTTGTAGGCAATATTATTAATTAACTGGGTCTTTCTCATACAGCCTTCCAAAAAGTGTCACACTTAATAGAGGGTGAGTTGCTATAGCAGGTTTACTCACAAGGCGCCCATCACTCATAACCTAAAAAAAAAAAACATATTAAGAATAGGAAAGAGTAAGAAAAGAGACGACAAATAACTAAAAAACACAAAGTAAATAGTGCCACAAAGATTTGTTTTCTGATTATTTTGATCTCTAAAAAACTTTATGCTACCATAAAGTATCCTGCTTTTTTGGCTTTGACGACTTCCTATCCTCCAATTCCCTGCTTGATCCCGTACAATCTGGCGTCCATCCCCCACATTTGACTGAAACTGTCCCGAAATGACCAACCACTACTCTTCTTTCTTATCTTATTTGACCTCTCAGCTGCCTTCGACATAGTTGACAACCCACAGCTCTCTTGGTCTTAGCAACAATTCTTTCTCTTGGATCCACTCATCACTCTAATAAGTAATTTTATATGTAATTTGATGACATCTTCAATGCCCCTGTGACTTGGAGTATGTCAAGGGTTCTATATTGGGTCCTCTACTTTTCAACATTTATACTTCTTCTCAAAGTAAGTGTCACATCCTGTTCCTAGCTGCAGATCATTCTGGCAATGGCTTCTGGTATCCAGTACTCTTTTTACAATTCTTGTTTAGTTTTTCTTGCTTTTTATGGTTTCTATTCTATGTCTGGTTTTCTTTATGCTGGGTTTTCTGGGTTCATTCCTGTATTCCATCCCTGGAATTCCCAGTCTCCAGAATTCATTTAAATGTTTGTTTTATGTTGCCACACCCGTTCCTTTTCCATGATTCCTTTTGTTTCAGTCTGGACCTGCAGCAGTGGTTTCAAGTCCTCTGCCTTTTCTTGCAGGTAAGTGCTATATGTGTTTTGTTATGGTTCTTTTAGCATACATTAGGCAGAGTAGGACCTGCCAAATATGGGGTACAATGGCGTTGTGGCAGGCTTATGCAATGTATGATCAAATAATGTAGCTAAATCCCCAGTTTTTCACAAATAGTTACCCTGCACCAGACCCTGCTAATCCACCTCCACACTGTGACTCCTACTTATATCATCAGGCATACTGGGTCCTGGTCCTCGCACCGCCGCCTGGACAGTGTCTGGGTCCCGGGCACCGGACCGCCACCCTGACAGTAAGATTATCAACAACTACAGCTTCAAATATCGGCTTTATGCTGGTGACAGACTACTTCTCCACCCCTGATCTTTCTCTCTCTGTCTTTACTCATGTCAGCGACTGTTTATCTAGCATTTCTTCCTGGATGGACCCTCGCCACCTAATGATCATTATGTCCAAGACTGAGCTCCTTCTTCTCACTTCTAGCTCTACTTGGATTTCAGACTTCTCTGTCACTGCTGATCACTATCTCCCAATAACCTGAAGTCCTCTCTTTCTAAATTACACTTGACTTCAGTTTGCATTCTTTATATTACATTTTTGTTCAGGGAAGCCTGCCACTCAACTAAATAACTAACGCATTCCACCTGACTAACAAATGCTGTCATATGACTCTCAGTTAACATTATTTTCACCGTTGAGGTTCCCACCACCTGTTTTTCACTACTCCTATCCATCTAAAAATTCTCAAGGGAATAGGGACCTCAACTCCTCCAGTGTTTGTCAAAGTTTTTATTGACTCTCGGATGTATTGTACCTTTGTCTTTTTACTTGTACCAATTGTACCCATTTACAGCACTGTACAATGTGTTAGCACTTAATAAAAAAGTATAATAATAAATAAGAATACATGCATATTTGCTGCCCTTAAAAGAGAGTAACATTTTTGTTTGGGAAATTTTGTAATAAATATTACAATGGCATAATTCTTGTAAAATGTATGACATCGAGAGGTGGAAGGTATATGACTAACATGGAAGTAGGTTCTGTAGTGATACTTTAAGAGAGGACTAGACAAAGGGGCTCTGGTGGACCTGGATAATTGTCAAACTATTTGAAAATGGTTTACCATAACCTTTAGAGTGCATTCTAGCAAATATGGTGCTTAGGCTGTCTGTTTAAGAAGAAAGTGGAAGGGGGGTAATATTATTGGGTAAACAAAAAATCAACACATAACTTGCATTTACCTTAAACAGATTAGGAGCCAAATTAACATTGTTCAGCAAAACTTCTGGAAATACATAATTTGTAGAAAAACTTCCGCTGAGAGTAAATTGTTTAAATTTGGTAGAAGCTGTCTCTACAGATTCACCACATGTATTCAAGTCAGAGCTTAAACATTTCAATAGTGTGCACACCTAAAAAAAAAAATATAGATAAAGATTTGAATGTGTTTTTAAAATTCTTCCAGCATCTCATATTCAAATAAACTAACGTTTATCTCCATAATCTCTTTGCTTCACTCACTTAAATGTCATTATTCATTATTCCCTAGTATAATAAATATAACCACACAGTGGCATAGCGTTTTTGCAGCCCCTATCTTGACCCAAATACAAAATCTTTTCTAGCACAAAATATTTTTTTATTGCATACGAACCAATACAATTGTCAGTTTCACCAATAAAGTGGCAATGTATAATTATTGGTGAAACTGACAATTGTATTGGCACTTATTGAATGAAAACATGTTTTGTATGGGAAAATATTTTCTATTTGCACTTGGTGCAGGTGCAGGGAGAAAGGGGTTCTGTGAGAGTTCAGGGAGACAAGGAATCTGTGCAGGTAGGAATGGGTTCTGTGAGAGTGGAAGGAGGGAGGGGGTCTGTGAGAATGCAGGGAGGGAAGGGATCTGTAAGTGCACGGAGAGAGGGGTCTGTGCAGGGGATAGAGGAGGCCTGTGCAGGGGAGAGAGGGGGCCTGTGTTGGTGAACAGGGGGTCTATGAACGGAGAGAGGGGGTTTGTGAAAGGACAGAGGGGGCTATACAGGGGAGGGAGGAGACTGTGAGTGAGGAAGGGTGTCTGTGCAGGGAGTGTGTCTATGAAGGAAGGGTGTCTGTGAAGGGAGAGAGCGGGACTAGACAGGGAAGGGAGGTGACCTGTGCAGGGAAAGAGGGGGACTATACAAAAAAAGAGGGGTCTGAGTGCAGGGAGAGAGGGAGTCTGTGAAGGGAGAGAAGGGGTATCTGTGAAGGAAGGAGGGAGGCTGTGAAGGGAGAGGGGGGGGGCCTGTAAGGGTGCAGGGATAGAACATACCTGGTTTCTCTGCAAGCACTACTAAGACCAGCATGCTCATGGGAGGAAATACCTCCCAGGTCCTCCCACCCTCCCTCTAACGAGATCTTTGATCTCCCCACTGGCCCAAGAGGGCCCAGAACAAGTAAGCAGGGCCGGCTCTCCGTGGGCCAGCAGCGGAGATCAAAGGATCTCCCCTATCAGCCCAGTACATGGGCAACACTGTGGGGCCCCTATGCTTGTGGGGCCCCCGGGAAAGTGCCCAGTATGCCCATGCGAAAAGACGACCCTGACACTGGAAGCACACTATAGCATGTTATTCACACTTACTTGAATAACAGTTTAGAGAATATTCACTACGCACATTTCTAAGCTAGGAAAACATAGATATAAGCAAAAACGACTAAATAATTAAATCCTAGGACTTTTACAAATATAGCTGACACTGAATGTAAGATAGAGTGGTTCTATTTTTCAGAAAGTGTAAAGTGATGGCTGTGTGATTTTCAGCCATGGGAGGTGTAAGTAGGGCTGTGAAATTAAAGATATTTAACGCCTAAATTAGCGGAGTATTGCCATGGTAACCGGGTCACACGAGAGTTATTAGAAGAGAAGAGTAGAGGCAGTGTGCTGGGCCCCCTCTGCGGTAACAGGGAGCCGGGGGCCCGCGGCTGCACACATAGATAGCGATATTCACTATCTATGTGTGTAGAGAAAGAAAGTGGGGCCTGGGACTGCCAGAGCAGTCCGGGCCCCCCAGGACCGTCGGGCCCGTGACAACCACCATGGTTGTCACCCCCTGATGGCGGCCCTGTCTATATATGCATATGTATATATTATTTTTCTATTGCATTTGAATGCATGGTTTGTAAAACAATAATAAAAAAATGGGAGGGACTGCTCTAACACTAATCTCAGTTAGTGCTTTGTAGATACAATGACTGCTTAACTTTGAACCTGAAAATTAAAATGACATTAGCAATTAATAATAAGATTAATTAATAATTAATGATCCCCAGGCTCGTTTACATTCACCAGACAATATACATTATAACAAAGTGATTACAGCTAAAAAACACAAACACATTTTCCACAATAAAAGGAAGGGCAATAGATATGACATATTCTCTAGTGCCACCAAATATAAATGCCCATCAAAGGAGAGGGGTGAGAGCTGCCTCCTTGTTCTCTCAAAACAGATAACCATGAAATAAGAGTTGATTAGAATATTCTTACTGTGGTGTCACTTGCATACTGAGTAGAGTTTGTTTTTGCCAAATAATGTTGCAATACTATTATTTTTAACAAAAAGTGTTTAATAGGTTATTATACCCCAGAAGTCTGATTCATTTCCTGTTATAATTATATGGCAAGTGAATATTTGTATAAACTATAAATAAATAGTTACCTGCAAATAATATTGCCCTTCGACCACATGAAGACCATCAAAAGCACCAAGCACATAAATCTCATTATTCTGTTTTTTCTTTCCATAATCTGCTCTCTTATAATTTAAATGGCAACATAGATCATTTTGGCAAATTGTATAATTTTCTTCAGGCTCCTTCAATTCCGTGAAGGTAAACAGATCAAAAAAAATACTTCCTTTAAACACATTTGTCCCAGATGAATATTTTTTAATAGTAGAAGCATGCTGGTTCCATTTAATTGAATAATATGTTGAAGAGTTACGTGGATGTGCATTCAACTCAGAGATCACTAAATGGCCATCCTCAGTGTCCATATTATAGTAATAAGGTCCAACATTCTCTGGAGAGAAGATTCCGCTGCCTGTGGAGAGCATGGAACTTGATTAGTGTAGCATAATAAAAGTTCCAACTACTACTGTTTTCAATGTACTGTCTTCGGCTGATACATAAGCCTTAGGCATCTTTCTTGCTTCTGGAACACAGCACCTTTCTATTGTCCATTATATTACTTGCTTCACTTATACTTGAGGGTGATGCCTTTCAGGCCAGCCTGATCTACTCTACTTTTTCTCCTCCCCTTATCATATCACGTATCCTATTCTGTTATTGAAACTGCTTAATTTAACTTAACAATGGAATTATATATTAATCAATGCTTATTTAGTGTATGTACTTTGCCTTGAACAAATAGCCACTTACAAAGCTGTATTTTTGCTAACAGAGTAATTTGTGATCAGCAAACTGTAAAAGAAACTGGAATTATATCAGAAAATTGGGAAACTGCATTACTGAGTCTGTATATTGTCATGTACACTAACACATACAATTGTTGATCCTCCTGGATTGTGTATTTTGCTAAATAGTTTTTTTTTGATGGTGCAAAATGAATAAAATCACCTAGATATGTAGACTTTGTTAATTGCCACGAAACATAAAACAATAAGTCTGAATAAGAATATTAAACAGAAAATATTTGAAAAGTAAGAATCTGCAAATTTTATTTGCCTGTCCTGATTAGTACCTGCTCAATTCTCAAACACGTTTTTTGGGGGGGGTTTTTGTAAGTCACTTTTAATTGAAGGGAAGTAGAATACAGGTAGTATGCAGTACCAATATACATAATATATCTGTATAAATGGTTGATTAAAGCACTTCATTTCTAGAAATAAAGACAAATATGTTGCATAGGTAAAAAAAAAAACCCCCACATATTAGATAGTATGCAATTAAGTAACATTGGTAACATAAATAAGTAAGTATAGGCAAGATAATTATGATATTTTATTATGGGCACATACATTGAAAAGTTGTATTATAAATGGGTGCTTGCTCTCTGCAAATAGGAAATTACTCAGTCAATGCCCATCCTAGAGGGCTAAAATTGAGGCATGCAAAAGACAAAGTGGGACCATGGACTAAATCCCATACTGCGCACTCAGAGAGAGCCACAAGGCATCCCCCAGGTAACAAGGCAGGCCCACACAATATGCCGACTAATCCACCAAGTCCCGCTGGTCAGAACTGTTTGGGATTATTAGTGTTGTGAAAATGAAGCCAAATCCATATGTATGTAGAAAGGTCATGTGGTCGTATTCTGAGAATGAGTGACAAAAAGGATAATTGCAACTATATGCATGATTAAACTTGTGTATTCCTAGGTCAGTATGACAAATGAACATGACCTTTGATAGCAGATGTGCTAACATTAACATTACATAAGTGGAAAGGTAATGTGTAATACTAGTTATCTATAAGTGAAAGCATATAAATGTATTTATCTCAGGAGAGCGATGACTGCTCTGTCATTAGGTATTTTATCTATTTTATCATCATTATAAAATATTGCATGACTTAAAGATCTTTATGGCTTTAAAAAGTAAACTATTTCATTTGTATTGTTTAAAAAGGCAACTTTGATTATATATAAAACTGAGAATTCCCAGGAATTCAAATAGCCAGCCTGAAATGTAATTCTAATTCAGCTATATTGGCCTAAATTTTGAAATTCATTTAGAATTTTTTAAAATGCTCACTTTAGTAAATAACAGTGTAACTGAAGTTCTGAGCTAAATGACTTGTAAACATCACACAGCCTTCAAATAAGAGACGCAGAAGCGTATATTACACCCATTAGGTTCACTGTTGCTAAAAATATATTTTTCTAGTGGATTTTTTTGCAGCAAATTTCAAAACAATCTACAAAGAAACTAGTCCTGCGCTCCAACTCCCATTACTCCTGGGCGGCAGCAATGACCATAGTACACATCAGCCAAAATACATATAGTAAAAACCAAAGAAAAAAAAGTTACCTGCGCTCTTTCCACATCCCTATGTATTTTTAAACAAATGGAGGTTTTTAGTTACCTCCAATGGCCATGAGAGGGTATGCCCACCTGCCACATCAAGGCAGAGCTCTTAGGTGGGTACTAACTCTAACCATTTACCTCGCTTCCTTGAGCTTCTGGCAAAAATATCTCTAATGAGACAGAAATGGGTATTTTTTATATACATCCCTACATGCTTATTAACCTTTAGGAACACATGGGATGGGCAGTAGCATTGCAACCTAGCTGTGTGATACAAAAGTGAATACAAATACAAAGAAACTAGTCCTGCGCTCAAACTCCCATTACTCCTGGGCGGCAGCAATGACTATAGCCAAAATACATATAGTAAAAACCAAAGGAAAAAAAGTTACCTGCGCTCTTTCTACATCCCTATGTATTTTTAAACAAGTGGAGGTTTTTAGTTACCTCCAATGGCCATGAGAGGGTAAAACAATCTGGCTAAATATTGACAAACAAGTATACTTATTTTAAAATACTGGTTTATCAAGTTAATTTATGTTTTTAACTTTTCTATTTATTTAATTTCAGAACTTTTACAGTGAACCAGTCATAACAGATTCCAGACCTACCAAGATTTGCAATCTGAAAAAGAGAGGTTGGGTGCAAGTCTAGTGTCTGTACAATATTTGCATGACAGATGATGTGTCCTGCTGTATAGGTGCATACAAGCAATGCTGACAATATTGTAGCCCATGGAGCAGCGCAGCTAAGTGTAATGGGCCTTGACATGGCTAGGAGACAGGCATAGGAGGTGTTAATGTGGGGGGTTGGCTATAGAAAGAGGAGGTAGGGTTTTGTATTATGGGAGTATATATAGCGGCCATTTTAGATCAAGGGCCATCTTAATTAACCCTCATTTACCTAATTTATATTTTATACCGCATATGCCGAAAAGGCGACTATGTATATGTCAGGTTGTGTATGAGCTTAAAGGATCACTATAGTCAACATATAAAAGCAAGAAAGACAGGTCCCCTAGCCTTCTTTCTTGCTTTTATATGCACTTGCCCCTATTAAAAAATAAATCCGAGCACTTTTTATGATATAAACTTACCTCCGTTCCAGCACCGAGTTCCTCGTCAGGCCACGCCAGCTTTTTCGTCAAAATGACGAAATCGCAGGGCTCAATAGGACGCTTCTCTTTGAGAAGCGTTATCGCTCTCTGGTGTGCATGCGCAGCTTTGCGCTGCACCAATCAGGTTCTTAATAGAGCGACATTGAATGCTGCTCTATGAAAAAACTGAGAGCTCTACCGCACATGACTAACAACTCAGCTCTCTCTCTATGCCTGCCCCCCTCCCCCCCATGGCATCCCTCCTAACCCAAAGTTAGTATACAAACACTATATATAGAGAAATCTCTATATATAGTGTTTGTATACAAACACACACTAAATAAATATTGTTGAACACACACACACAATCTATCTTTTTCTATCTATCTATTTCTATCTCTTTCTATTTCCATTTATCTATCTATTTTTTTTAATTCTTTTTTTTTGCGTTTTACAACTAGTGTGGTTAGTGGTTGTAGTTCGGGGGAGTATCACCGGTTGGCAGGAGTAGTGCCATTCATAGATTTGCCCTTATTTGTGGTCCCGTTAGGGTTTTACCACCTTCAATGGGCTGGTGTTGTTCCTCCCCCAGGGAATCCTGCCCACCCTGGTATAATATATATTTATTTCTATCTCTCTCTATTTATCTATCTAACTATATCTATCTTTCTATTTCTATAGTTCTATCTATTTCTATCTATCTATCTACACTGCTCAAAAAAAATAAAGGAAACACAAAAATAACACATCCTAGATCTGAATGAATTAAATATTCTTCTGAAATACTTTATTCTTTACATAGTTGAATGTGCTGATAACAAAATCACACAAAAATTAAAAAATGGAAAACAAATTTTTCAACCCATGGAGGTCTGGATTTGGAGTCACACTCAAAAGTTGAAAAACACACTACAGGCTGATGTAATGTCCTTTAAAAAAAGTCAAAACGAGGCTCAGTAGTGTGTGTGGCCTCCACGTGCCTGTATGACCTCCCTACAACGCCTGTGTATGCTCCTGATGAGGTGGCGGATGGTCTCCCGAGGGATCTCTTCCCAGACCTAGACTAAAGCATCTGCCAACTCCTGGACAGTCTGTGGTGCAATGTGTTACGCTACTTGGGTGATTTGGATTGGAACTCAACTGCAGCTTGTAAAACTCCCTAATTACAATAGTGAAGAAACAGAGAATCTTTAAAGTATCAATACTGTAGCTTTAAGAAAAGAGAGATTTGCTGGTAACTTGATTCAAACAAAGTTTTAATAAGTGTTAAACATAAATGAATTGCATTTAGGCAATAATCCAATACGAAGAAGTGCAAGTAATCAACAACACAAAGTTCATTATTAAGTATTTCCTCAGAGATGCATTAAGTAACATTCTTTAGGTTAATGAGAATAATCTTCAATAGTAACTTTAAGCTAGTAAGCTGAGAGTATTTGCAAAGCAGGAACAGTTTATAGTTAATAAGCATGATGGGAGTTGTCCTCCATATAATTAGTAGCTTGAAGCACTGAGTGTATTTGCAAAGCAAGAAACAGTTCATTGTGAATAAGCATGATGGGAGTTGTCCTCCATATAATTAGTAGCTTTAAGCAGTGAAGATTTAAGTAAGCAAGCATTAGTTCATTATTAAATGATATTGTAGACAAATAGCTGAAAGATATACTTAAGGTTAATGTGAGTATTCCTCCAATAGTTCAGAGGTATGGTCCACTTGTAAAGTAAGTGAGTTTCTGTTCTCCAGTAATCCTCTATGGCATGAAGCATACTTGTCTTAGCCCAGAAGGCTAGGACGACTTCAGAGCTTGTAGAGCCGGCGTGTCCCAGGAGCCGGCGTGCATACTCGGAAGTAGGACCCACATTGCCAGAGCCTGTGGAGAGGTAAGTCTGGCGGAAGTAGCTCCCAGTATCACCAAGCCCCCTCTCTCTGGCGCGGTCTCCCTAAATACCGTCAGAGCTGCGTCAGAGGGCGGCGGGGTCCGGGCCCGCACAGCGGAGTGCCGAACCTGGAAGTGTTACCGCATGACAGGACCCCCCACCTAAAGAGCACTCTCCGGGTGCTATTACCTCGGTTTTTGAGGGTATCTTCTGTGAAAGGCAGTAGTCAACTTCTTTGCATGTATTTCAGAGGAATTCTCCCAAGTGTTATCTTCTTCTCCATAATCTAATAAGGTATTGTAAGTTACCTCTATGAAGTCTGGAGTCAAGAATTCTCTCTATTCCATATTCCAATTCACCTTGAACTTCAATGGGGTCTGCCAGCTCCGACTCATATATGAACAGTCCCATAAATATAAGCAAACCCGAGCCCGATCCGAACCCGAAACCTTCACCACCAGCTCCAGTAAACCAGCTGGCACTGATTGATGCCTTTCTTCGCCGCCCAGAGACTACCCCAAAGGAAATGAAGGTCTCGGGCTTACCACACGCCATCGATCCCAGACCTGGGGGAGCTGCTGGAAATCATAACGGCAAGAGGAGTCGAACAGGCACATACCTCAACCCCGACGGCACACAAGCAGGCAATGGGCAGGCGATCACAAAAACCCCAAGCCGCAACGGAGACCAGGGACATTGGAGAGCTGCTCCAGAGGCCTACTCCTCACAGACCCACGTCCGCGGAAGTGCCGCAAGTGGCGACACCCGAACCCCACCCGACACGGGAACAACAACAAGGCAAGCAGACCCCACTAACCTCGGTGCAAGACCCCTCTGATGACTCTGCCCCGACAACCAAACGGGACCTAAAAATATTATTAGCAGACATCCACAAACTGCTGGCCGCCGATTCTGCCCTCTTAAAAACAGAGGTACACGTGGTCACAGAAAGGGTGAGAGCCACAGAGGAAGACGTGATGGCAGTGCAGAGCCAACTAGCTAAACTTGATGAATCAATAATCCAAATGCAAACCACTCAGCAAACCCTCACACACAAATTAGCAGCGGTGGAAGACCGCCAAAGACGCAACCATATTAAAATAAGGGGAATCCCAGCTACAATCATGGCATAGGAACTTCCACACTATATCCGCAGACTCTTACTTACAATCCTGCCTCACACAGCGGCAAAAAAAATCACCATCTACAGTCTTGCCAGCACCACCCCGCTCAAACCTACTTAGCCCCGGGATGTGATCCTCAGATGCCTTACAACCCAAGATAAAAGCCAAATCATGTCGGCCCTAAGAGATAAAACGCCACTAATGTTTGAAAACACCTCTCTCACATTCTACCAAGACCTCACAAAGGCAACACTTCTGCAACGCAAAGCTTTTGGCACTGTCACGGCACAACTCCGAGCAGCAAACCTGGCCTACAAGTAGGCGGCAAACTGCACAATCATACTCACCCGAGATGGGACTACTCATACACTAACAACAATGAGTGAGGCACCAACATTCCTACGTAACCTCTACTCCAAACCCTGAGACAACTGGAACTGCAACAACAGGCCTTTGGGACCCAGCCACGGTTGTCCCCTTCGTACCAAGGGAATCCAGACTGCAGAATGCTTCCACAAGACTCTCGGGACAGAGACACATTGCAGCCCGAAAGATGGATCAACATAGTTGAACTAACTAACAACTCGCTAACCTCTGGGACGATCTCCGCATTTACCTTAATTTAAATTTTTTAGGCTAAACGGGCAAAAGATATTTTCATTTTTCTATCTCGTTAAACTTTTTATATAATTTGGTTATGATTTGTCGCTCTTAAAGTTCATGTGAACAGTTATATTACACACTCTCCTTATCCACAGCGCTCAGTGATAGACACAACACCAACACCACTATAAGCTAGCGCAGCTACTCACACTTCCACTGCAACCAGCTGGCGTCCTCCAGCCCAACACTCCCACCCGAGCGGCCCCCTTGGTTAGGGGCACCCACCCCAGATGTCAGGGGCCTACACACAAAGCGGCCTCGGAACAAGCTCTGTCACCCATGAACCACACTCAGACACACAACACGAGGCACCTGTACATCTTGCTTACAAGCTCTACGGACTCATGAGCACATCACAAAAACATGTTGACTAACAACTAGCCACACTAAGAACTTAACCTGTCACTAGAGAGACATGTATACGTCGACACACATAGGACAGATCAGTTCTACAAACTATACAAAGAGAGATAAACATGTCATGTAAAACCTCTGTTCTGTCCAATGTTTAACCATGTTAACCATGTTATATGCTACCAAAAATGGTGCGTTACAAACAACAAATATTTCTTGCTTATACTTTACCTACCTATACTGTAACCATGTCATATGTTACCAATGTGAATTTCAACACACCTCAAAAATAAAGATTAAAAAAAAATTAAAAAAAATAACACATCCTCGATCTGAATGAATTAAATATTCTTCTGAAATACTTTATTCTTTACATAGTTGAATGTGCTGACAACAAAATCACACAAAAATTAAAAAATGGAAATCAATTTTTTCAACACATGGAGGTCTGGATTTGGAGTCACACTCAAAAGTTGAAAAACACACTATAGGCTGATCCAACTTTGATGTAATGTCCTTAAAACAAGTCAAAATGAGGCTCAGTAGTGTGTGTGGTCTCCACGTGCCTGTATGACCTCCTTACAACACCTGTGCATGCTCCTGATGAGGTGGCGGATGGTCTCCCGAGGGATCTCCTCCCAGACCTGGACTAAAGCATCTGCCAACTCCTGGACAGTCTGTGGTGCAATGTGACGTTGGTGGATGGAGCGAGACATGATGTCCCAGATGTGCTCAATTGGATTCAGATCTGGGGAACGGGCGGGCCAGTGCCAGTGCCATGGTCTTGCAGGAACTGCTGACACACTCCAGCCACATGGGGTCTAGCACTGTCTTGCATTAGGAGGAACCCAGGGCCAACCTCACCAGCATATGGTCTCACAAGGGGTCTGAGGATCTCATCTCGGTACCTAATGGCAGTCAGGCTACCTCCGGCGAGCACATAGAGGGCTGTGCGGCCCCCCAAAGAAATGCCACCCCACACCATTACTGACCCACTGCCAAACCGGTCATGCTGGAGGATGTTGCAGGCAGCAGAACGTTCTCCACGGTATCTGTCACATGTGCTCAGTGTGAAGCTGCTTTCATCTGTGAAGAGCACAGGGCGCCAGTGGTGAATTTGCCAATCTTGGTGTTCTCTGGCAAATGACAAACGTCCTACACGGTGTTGGGCTGTAAGTCCTCATACCACCCTCATGGAGTCTGTTTCTGACCATTTGAGCAGACACATGCACATTTGTGGCCTGCTGGAGGTCATTTTGCAGGGCTCTGGCAGTGCTCTTCCTGTTCCTCCTTGCACAAAGGCAGAGGTAGTGGTCCTGCTGCTGGGTTGTTGCCCTCCTACGGCCTCCTCCATGTCTCCTGATGTACTGGCCTGTCTCCTGGTAGCGCCTCCATGCTCTGGATACTACACTGACAGAGCACACAGCAAACCTTCTTGCCACAGCTCGCACTGATGTGCCATCCTGGATGAGCTGCACTACCTGAGCCACTTGTGTGGGTTGTAGACTCTGTCTCATGCTACCACTAGAGTGAAAGCACCGCCAGCATTCAAAAGTGACCAAAACATCAGCCAAGAAGCATAGGAACTGAGAAGTGGTCTGTGGTTACCACCTGCAGAACCACTCCTTTATTGGGGGTGTCTTGCTAATTGCCTATAATTTCCACCCATTGTCTATCCCATTTGCACAACAGCATGTGAAATTGATTGTCACTCAGTGTTGCTTCCTAAGTGGACAGTTTGATTTCACAGAAGTGTGATTGACTTGGAGTTACATTGTGTTGTTTAAGTGTTCCCTTTATTTTTTTGAGCAGTGTATTTCTATCTATCTATGTCTGTCTCTCTCTCCCTCTTTCTATCTATCTATCTCTTTCTATCTATCTCTATCTCTATCTATTTCTCTCACTCACACCCCCTCTCTCACTTACTCACTCACTCACTCACTCACCCATAGTTACTCACTCACCCACACTCAGTCACTTACTCACTCACCCTCACTTACTCACCCACTCACTAACCCACACTCAGTCACCCACACTCACTCACCCACATTCACTCTCTCACTCACCTACACGTTCTCACTCACCTACACTCACTCTCTCACATGCACCCACTCACACACACCCTCACTCATTCACCCACACTCACACAGTCACCCACTTACCCACCACACACACAAAATAAGTTTACTTACAGTTGTGATCCTCCCCTCCTGCTCAGTCTCCGGTCTTTAGCCTGTCTGCTTGTGCCGACGCTTCGTGCAAGAGATTTTATCTCCCACACTGTCGGCTCTTTATCGCTGACAGGTTCGGGGTTACTACAGGACATAGGGGGCGCGTTCGCAGTGCCCCCTATTTCCTGTATGCTGATAGCACGTCTTCACCCAAGCTTGAAGATGTCAAACATGAAAATAAATGCGAATTATGCATTCATCAACTCGGAAGTCCCTCTGGTGGCAGTCTGAGTGACTGCAACTGGAGGTGTTCCTAGCTTCCAATGTAAACACTGTATTTTCTCAGAAAATACAGTGTTTACATGAGAGAGGCTACAGGGAGCTATAGTTCTCACCTGAACAACCTAATTAAGCTGAAGTTGTTCAGGTGTCTATAGTGTCCCTTTAAATAGCCATTATTTATTAACAAGTGCAGCACTAGTATGTTTTGACCTGTGTTTACATACCCCTTTCAGCACTCCTCCCTACACTGGTCAAAGAACCTGTTTGTAGAAAATTGTGTGCTACAGCATAAAATCATACGACTTGACATATCTTTATGCAATAACTATATAATTAATCATAGATGTACTATAGTGGTTAAGTATAAAACGTGCTGTGTTCTTAAAAAGCACCAAAAGTTGGCCAGCCACCTTGGGAACCAGCAGGTTAAGTGCACTGGTGGTGCACTCTGCCTGTTTAAATGTCTGCACCACCTCTCAGAGCAGACAATTTTTATACCTAAATCACATCTTTTTCATTAGGAACTGTTAGTTCCCAGATTTTATACCTTTAGTCCTGTATTTAAAAGCCTTCATAGAAATAAAAACTCTGCTTTCATTTCTAGAACCTTCCTTAAAAGTACTATCTTATTCTAAACCCTCAATATGTACAATTATGCACACTATTTCCCAAACTACACTTCCCATGATATAAATATAGTGAAATGGTAACTGGAAGCCTATGGTGATTGGGCACTAGATAGTTGCCCTGTAGAAGGCCTGTTTGCCCTATGTGAAATACATTAAGTTGACTGCCCACAGCAATGTTAGGTACCTGGATTTACCACCAAGTGCCTCACAGCTTACAGTATGAGTTCTTTATAGAATCTCTGTATAAAGGGGGAGGTACATTGGCTGGTGTTCTATCCTATCAGCAGGCTTTTTCTTCAGATGACTTCAATCACAGGCACACAGTGAGCTGAGCAGCCCTGGGTCTTTGACAAGATTTGGAAGAAGACAAGTAGAACATTCCTACACTTTATATGAAAGGTTTATTTCATTTTCATCTTGTTTATAACTGTGATCCCTTTACTGTGATATGTAAGCACTGTATGTATGACCTTTTAAAACTAAACATGTCTGTTAAGATCATGTGTGGGGTGGGAAGAGGAGGATAGCATCCGTTAACCTCTTGTATTTTGTTCAGACTGCTAGATTTATAATGCTTTAAAATATGTACCTGTATAAAGAATTATTACAGCACTGTTTTTTTTTTTTTTTTTTTTAATACCAATTATAGTTCTGGGGTTATGCGCGTTATACAATAATGATGAACTTGCAATAAACGTTATTCTAACTGCTTCTTATCCACGCTGTAAGCGCAAAGGAACAGTCTAACCACCAAGTACGCTGCAGACTCTAGGTAAGTTATCAAAATTACAGCTTGCTGTAGTGGAGTTTGGACTATTTCTTTAATTAAGTAATTTTGGGGAACAACTGCTGCCCCATGCAGCCCCTGACAAACCGCACTGTTTACAATTTTTAGTTTCCACAACAACTAGCAGCTGTCAGAGTGACAGACAAACAGCACCTAGGGATAGAGATTTACATGTTGACACTGGGTGCTGATGCCCGATGATGTGTTTGTCCAATGCTCCAATGAGCAGCACTGGATTTGATACTTTTTATTGCCAGAGGTGCCAATTGCATGCCATGTTTCCTCAGTGTTTCTCTATAAGAAGCATCTTATTGAACAAAGTTCATCAGGATTGTTGGTTTTGTTTACCGTGGATGGATCAGGCTGCAGCGTCTGTTACAGTGTTGGAATACGTATACGTTTAAAAGGGACACAATATAGGCGCCAACACCACTTCAGCTCATTGAAGAGGTCTGGGTGCAATGTCCCTATTGCACTTAGTGCTGCAATGTAAAACATTGCAGTTCCAGAGAAACTGCAATGTCTACATTGCAGCACAAAGTCTGCCTCAAGTGGCTGTCTACCAGACAGCCCACTGGAGCCACTTCCAGGAGGTTGAGCTGCAACACAGCGCCAAAGGACATCAGCGCTGGGGTATGGTAAGTAAATTAATGGTTTTTCACCCTTTATTCACCTGTATTCCTGGCACTTAAAGTCTCCCTTTATTGCGTTTATTTTATTTATTAGGGTAGGAAGGCAGTAATCTAAGCATCAAAATGAACATATCTAATTAATAATATCTAATTTGCGTATATCATATTTAATCATGTAAGTATTTAAATGTTTTCACCTTTAATTTTGGTTTTAGTATTTTATGTAATTTTTTTTATTTAAGGAACACCATAGGGTCAGGAACACAAACATGTATTCTTGACCCTATAGGGTTAAAACCACCATCTAGCCACCCTGGTCCCCTCATGCCTCCCTAAATATAGTAAAATCTTACTTGTATTCAGGTCTGCAGCTGTTTACTTTGTCCCTGTTTCCTTTAGACCTGCCCACTGCCTGCTGACATCAGCAGAAGTGGTAGCCTGATCCAATCACAATGCTTCTCCATTGGATTGGCTGAGACTGACAAAGAGGCAGATCAGGGGCAGAGCCAGCACAATTCAAACACAGCCCTGGCCAATCAGCATCTCCTCATAGAGATGAATTGAATTAATGAATCTCTATGAGGAAAGTTCAGTGTCTGCATGCAGAGGGTGGAGACACTGAATGTTTGGATGCATTTTAGGCAGCCATGACCCAGGAAGGATCTCTAACAACTATCTGAGGAGTGGCCAATTAAGTTATCAATAGGCTGTAATGTAAACACTACATTTTCTCTGAAAAGCCAGTGTTTACAGCAAAAAGCCTGAAGGTAATGATTATACTCACCACAACAAATTCAATAAGCTGTATTTGTTCTGGTGACTATAGTGTCCCTTTAATATGTATCAAGTTTATACTCACATAGCCTGGCCAGAACATGCAGTAGTAATTGAAAATTGCAATGATTCTCAAGGTTCATGTGTACATTTTGGTCATAATAGCAGTAGCTAGACTGTTTACTTAGTTGGGGAGGGGATCGCACATTGGAAGGTATGTCAATAAAGTTATCTGTGAACAGAGGTAGTACTAATTTTAAGTATTTTTTTTTGTTTGTTGGCTGTGTACAAAGGTCTCTGTTTTTTTGCTTAGTTTGATATTTTATTACAATGATTCTGTTACCAAAAAAAAAATGGGCAAAGTTCTAAAAATGGGCAAAGGCTAATTCTACTTGTTTCCATGGTGATTGATTTACACTACTGATCCACGCTTAGAACGTTTCCTCAAACTTGCTTTTGTATATATTGCTAGCATTCTGTTATTATTCTGTTAAAATGTTTCACTCTTACCTGTCATTCTCTTGCTGGTACTATGGGTGTTAGAGGAGAGCAGATTTACACCCATTCCCATAGCCCATGCAGAGTGAAATTCAATAGCAGATAGATGGGGAAGAACATTCATCCAAGCTGTTGGGAACAGGATAGTGTCCACATTGCGATCCACAACCAGAGCCACAGCTGGGTCATAGAAAAGAATATCAAAGCAAATAAAAATGCCAAATCTCCCGAAAGGTGTGTCAAAGCTCACAACCTCAGCCTCTTTTGGAGCATTGAACTGTATCTCCCCAAGGAAAAGGTGTTGCTGAAAATTAAAAATATATTAATGTATAATTTCTTAAGTATTTGTGAAATGTTCTTATTTATAAAAAAATTACCATTCTAGGCTTCTCATACATATTTTACTTTCATAATTTAGTCCATAGTTTTACTTACCATCTTTTATACTCCAAGTATGATTGTTACCTCAGAGAAATGTTGCCGAGGCTCAACTCACTATTTGAATCAATGCAAATAGGGTGAAAATGTCAATCTAACCCCTATTACCATAGAGCAAAGGAAGTTACAAAGAGGGTTTTTATGGCCAAATACATACAAAATTATTGCATTCTGTTGTCTTTTTAAGAAATTGGCATTGCTAATAATGACATTGGGTTCCTTACAAATATCCATAAGCAGTGTATGTGACAATTTATGGTTAACTGTTTTTTGTGAATTCTATGCTACGTTGTAGTGGTTATGGTAAAAGTAGGTTATTGGTGCCATACTTCAGTTTTGGATCTAACATTTCAAGCAGTTTGACTATTTTAGGGTTTCCCAGGCACACAGAGACTACCACACACTTGCAAAGCATACATTCTGAGTTAGCATTATACTTTTTTTCACATCTAGACGGCTTTGATAGGTTGAGTGTATCATAGCCTTTTAGTTATCTAACCACTACAATTGTCTATAGTGGTGATGGTGCTTAAAATTCAATTTTAAAGGGGAATTGTCAATTTTCCAGGACTTAATATTATGTATTTACTTATCCCTGTATTTAATAAGTATGTATGAGGTGTGAAAAAAAAATAAAAAAAAATAACGGACACTATAGTCACCAGAACTAAAACTATTGCTTACTACAGTATTGTCAGTCCCTGCAGGCTTTTTGCAGTAAACACTGTCTTTTCAAAGAAAAGACAGTGTTTACATTACAGCCCAGGGATACCTGCAGAGCCCACTCATCAAATGGCTACTTCCTGCTTCCAGGCATAGTGACATTTAGTGTCTCCACCTTCTGCATGAAGACACTGTACTTTCCTCATAGAGATGCATTGATTAAATGCATCTCTATGAGGAGATGCTAATTGGCCATGTGTCAGGATCGTGACAGGGATCCAATACGCAGAGTGCGGACAGAAAGAGGTACGTATACCAGACCTTAGAATGGCCGGACTAATGTATACACAAGACAAGAATGGTCAAAAGACAAGCCGATGTCGAGGGAGCCGGAGGACAGTTAAGCGAGGAACAAGCCGGGTCTAAGGAAAGGAGAGAGAAGCAAGACGAAAATACAAGCCAGGTCAAAACCATATAACACAATGAGAGGAACGCGCTGAGTGACTAGCAAGCTAGAACCACGACAGGGCAATGAGTTGTAGCACAGGATTCCTTTAAGTACCTTGTCACCTTAATTGATGACCACGCCCCCAAAAGGTCCGAAATTGCGGTTTCTGGCGGTCCGTGCCGATGATGATGTCATGACGTCGACTATTGGCCGTCGCGTCATAAAAGGGGGAGGAGCTAGCGCGGCCGACATGAAAACGGCCGAAATTGCCAAAATGTTTGGAAATACAAGCCCCTTTGGGAGAGACCCTGTCCAGATGCCTGACCTCCTCAGAGGTGGAAATTACAGGTACCATGACAGTACCCCCCCTTTCAGACACGCCCACCGGGCGGACGGGACCGGGGCGAGAAGGAAACCGAATATGGAAGGCCCGAAGAAGACGAGGAGCATGTACATCTTCACAAGGAACCCAAGACCTATCTTCAGGACCATAACCTTTCCAGTCTACGAGGTATTGCAACTTCCCCCTGGAAATACGAGAATCAAGAATGGACTTGACAATATATTCTTCCTGACCATCAACTTGAACCGAAGGAGGGGGTGAAGTGTGGGAAGAAAATCTGTTACATACAAGAGGCTTCAATAAAGATACATGAAAAGAGTTAGGGATACGTAGAGTAGGAGGCAGGTCCAGCACATAAGAAACCGGGTTAATCCTCCTCAATACCTTGTAAGGCCCTACGTAACGAGGAGCAAACTTCATGGAAGGAACTTTCATGCGAATGTGTCTGGTACTCAACCAGACCCTATCACCTGGAGAAAAGACAGGGGCAGGCCGTCTACGCTTATCAGCATGCATCTTGAACACCGCGGAGCTACGGGTAAGAATTCGTCAAGTCTGATCCCACAACTTTCTCAGGTTGGCTACATGAACATCAACCGACGCTACACCGTGAGAAGGTGATACCCACGGAAGAACAGTAGGGTTAAAGCCATAATTCAAGAAAAAGGGGCTATTATGAGTGGAATCACAAACAAGATTGTTGTGAGCAAACTCTGCCCAAGGAATCAGACTGACCCAATCGTCCTGGTGTTCAGAAACAAAACAGCGCAGATATTGCTCAATTTTTTGGTTAGTGCATTCAGCAGCTCCGTTAGATTGAGGGTGATAGGCAGAGGAAAAATTCAGCTTGATACCCAACTGGGAACAGAAGGATTTCCAAAAACGGGAAACGAATTGGGAACCTCTGTCAGACACAATCTCATTGGGGATATCATGTAAGCGAAAAATCTCCTTCGCAAATATCTCGGCCAATTCGGGCGAGGAAGGAAGTTTAGGCAAGGGAATGAAATGAGCCATTTTGGTAAACCTATCGATCACCGTGAGGATAACTGTGTGTGTTATTAGAAACAGGCAAATCAACAATAAAATCCATAGCTAAACTAGCCCAAGGTTTGTTGGGAATGACTAAGGGTTGCAATAGGCCACAAGGGAGTGTCTGTGGTAGTTTATTCCTAACACAGACATCGCAAACCTTGACAAAATCTTCCACATCCCTCCGTATATTAGGCCACCAGAAGTCCTTGGAGTAAGTTTTGTGGATGCCAGGGTGACCAGCAATCTTACTATCGTGAAAGCAACGAAGTACGTCTATTTGGAACTTAGGAGAAACAAAGTACTGTCCCTCAGGGGTACGTTCTGGAGCAAGAGATTGTTCCTTCATTATATCTGCAAGTAACGGAGAGTGTATTTTGACATTAGTGTTTGCAATAATGTATTGTTTAGGAACAATAGGAGACAATGCGTCTTCCGTGATGGTAATAGGTTCATGTTGGCGGGATAACACGTCTGCTTTGGTGTTCTTAGAACCAGGTCTGTATGTGAGTAGGTAGTTGAAATGTGTAAGGAACAATGACCAACGGGCTTGCCTGGCGGATAATCTTTTGGCCTCTACAATGTAGGATAAATTTTTGTGATCCGTCAAAATGGTAACAGGGTGTACAGTTCCCTCTAACAGATGTCTCCATTCTTTTAATGCCATAATAATAGCTAAGAGTTCTCTGTCACCAATATCATATCTCCTTTCCGTGTGTGATAATTTTTGGGAAAAAAAAAACGCATGGGTGCAAAGGTTTATCCAAACTTTGTCTTTGGGATAAAACTGCGCCTATACCTGTTTCAGACGCATCAACCTCAAGTAGAAAAGGTAAAGAGGTATCAGGATGGACCAATATAGGTGCTGAAGCAAAAGTCTGTTTGAGCGTTTCGAAAGCAGATAGAGCCTCAGTAGACCACGTTTTGGTATTAACCCCTTGTTTAGTCATATTAGTGATAGGAGCAATAATAGAAGAGTAACCTTTAATGAAGCGTCTGTAGTAATTAGAAAATCCAATGAATCTTTGTATGGCTTTGAGTCCCTTGGGTAATGGCCAATCTAATATCGATTTTAGTTTAATCGGGTCCATCATAAACCCGTCCTTAGAAATTACGTAGCCTAAGGAAGTTATCTGGGATTGATCAAAGCTACATTTCTCCAATTTACAATACAATCCATGTTCAAAGTTTCCGTAATACACTTCTGACATGTCTGTGATGAGACTCAAGGTCCCTAGAATGTATTAGTATATCATCCAAATATACTATAACGCATTCATGTTGAAATTCTCTAAGAACTTCATTAATCAAATCTTGGAAGACGGCCGGAGCATTGCATAACCCAAACGGCATTACAGTATACTCATAATGTCCGTAACGGGTATTGAACTCTGTCTTCCATTCGTCTCCCTGTCTAATTCTTACCAAGTTATATGCTCCTCTCAAGTCTAACTTGGTAAAAATCTTGGAGCCCTTCAATCTATCAAAGAGTTCTGTAATCAAAGGAATGGGGTAAGCATTCCTGATGGTAATCTTATTCAATCCCCGATAGTCTATGCAAGGACGTAAAGTACCGTCTATCTTCTCTACAAAGAAAAAACCTGCCCCAGCCGGAGATGAAGACTTTCTAATAAATCCTTTGTCTAGATTCTCCTTTATGTAATCCTCTAAGACTACATTTTCTTTAGTAGACAGAGGATACACCGTACCCCTAGGAGGCATAATACCAGGCAAGAGTCTAATAGTACAGTCATAGGACCGGTGAGGAGGTAAGGTATCAGCCTTCCTTTTGTCAAATACTGACTTGAGATCCAGATACTGAGACGGTATCTGTAAGTCTGTAGATTGGTAAGAGTTGATAGAGGAGTTTACTGAGCAAACCGAAGTGACTCTCAGCAAACATTTCTCCCTAAAACCTGATCCCCAAGATATGATTTCTCCACATTCCCAATCAATGATAGGGTTATGTCTTTTAAGCCAAGGATACCCTAGAACCACTGGGACAGCAGGGGAGGATATTAGCAGGAGGGACATCATCTCCTCGTGGAGGATACCGATGGTCAGTTTAATGGGTTTAGTCTCATGAAATATTACTGGTTCAGACAAAGGTCAACGGCCTCAATGGCCTCAACGGCCAAGGGTGTATCTCTCAGTTGAGATGGGAGACAATGCTTATTAGCGAAAGCTTGATGTATAAAGCTTTCAGCTGCTCTGGAATCTAACAAAGCCATCGTAGTTATAGCCCCACTCTCCCAAGCTAAAGAGACAGGAATAAGAAGCCTATGGTCTTTATCATTATACATAGAGGACAATATAGAAGCACTCAAGGCCCGTCCTCTAGGGGAACTTAGGTGCGAGTGTTTCCCGGGCGTCTAGGTCAATTTAGACATAGGTGGCCTCTCAGCCCTCAATATAAACATAGACCCTGCCTTCTCCTGTATTGCCCCTCGTCCTCAGATAGGCGAGTATTGCCTATCTGCATAGGTTCTGGAGGAGTTGGGTTGAAGGAATCAGGGTTCTGGAAGGAAGGAGCAAGTCTTTTAGGGGGTCTACTGGCTCTTTCTCGAGTATTCTGCCTCTGTCTCATACGTTCATCTATTCTGGAAATAAATGACACTAAATCTTCCAAATTTTCTGGAAGTTCTCTTGTGGCAATCTCGTCTAGAATCTCATCAGACAATCCATTCAAAAATACATCCATATACGCTTGTTCGTTCCATTTAACCTCTGCCGCCAGGGATCTGAACTCTAGCGCATATTCTACCAGGGTTCTATTATGTTGTTTAAGGCGTAACAGAGATCTGGCTGCATTAGCCTTCCTTCCTGGGGGATCAAAAGTCCTTCTGAAAGCTGTGACAAATGCATTATAATTATAGACCAAAGGGTTATCATTCTCCCAGAGAGGATTACCCCATCTAAGTGCTTTGTCTATTAGCAGTGTTATAATGAACCCTACTTTAGCCCTGTCAGTAGGGTATGCCCGGGGTTGAAGTTCAAAATGTATGCTTATCTGGTTTAGAAAACCTCAACATGTATCAGGCGAACCCCCATATCGTAACGGGGAAGTGACATGAGAGAATGCACGCACTGTGGCTACTTCCAAACCTGTACTTACAGGATGGCTAGCGGTGGAACATATCTCTTCTGACTGGGTACTGGGATGTGCTAATAAAGATTGCAAAGCTAGAGCAATTTGGTCCATTCTATGGTCCATGGCCTCAAATATGGAGTCAGGAGAACTAGCACCTGCAGGATCCATATGGCCCTGTCGTAATGTCAGGATCGTGACAGGGATCCAATACGCAGAGTGCGGATAGAAAGAGGTACGTATACCGGACCCTAGAATGGCCGGACTAACGTATAGACAAGACAAGAATGGTCAAAAGACAAGCTGAGGTCGAGGGAGCCGGAGGACAGGTAAGCGAGGAACAAGCCGGGTCTAAGGAAAGGAGAGAGAAGCAAGACGAAAATACAAGCCAGGTCAAAACCGTATAACACAATGAGAGGAACGCGCTGAGTGACTAGCAAGCTAGAACCACGACAGGGCAATGAGTTGTAGCACAGGATTCCTTTAAGTACCTTGTCACCTTAATTGATGACCATGCCCCCAAAAGGTCCGGAATTGCGGTTTCTGGCGGTCCGTGCCGATGATGACGTCATGATGTCGAATATTGGCCGTTGCGTCATAAAAAGGGGAGGAGCTAGCGCGGCCGGCGTGAAAACGGCCGAAATTGCCGAAATGTTTGGACATACAAGCCCCTTTGGGAGAGACCCTGTCCAGATGCCTGACCTCTTCAGAGGTGGAAATTACAGGTACCATGACCCCATGGCAGATTTTGGTTCTGCTCCCCCAGCCCACCTCCTTGGCAATCTCAGCCAATGCATTGCTTTCCTATGGGTAAGCATTGTGACGGACTGCGATCATCACTTCTGATGATGTCAACCAAGGAGGCAGATCAGGGGAAGAGCCAGCACCAGCAGACTGGGATAAAGGTAAGATTTAACTATATTTAGAGGGGCCAAATAGTGTTTTTAACACTATAGGGTCAGGAATACATGATTGTGTTACCATAATTTCCAGGCACTGGGTATTACATCCTAGCTCCTTGTCAGTCTTTGTTATAAACTCTGTCCTTTGCACTTGACAGTAAGCATACAGACAAAAGAACAAGTAGAAAGTATGGGCGAGATTTATTGGATTTTAAGGCACTCTTTCTGCCCCTTTAATTCCGTGGGAAAATGGGCCTCTTCCCCTTCCCCCTTTTTCCAGTCCCATTGTTCTCCAGCAGGGCGTTGTCCCAGGGACACTGCCAGACCAGTTGAAACTGGCTACTTTGTCCCTCCTCAATCTCAATCTCAAGCGGTTCCGTTACACCACCCTAGCCATATTTTTTTAATTATTGCAATTTTTTCGGTAACAAAACAGATTTATCATTTGTTTCACCTACTTGCCACACAGAAAAAAAGTGTTTTGATTTACTCCTCTTTTTCCCACCACTGTAAATTTGGTCGTAGTCAGAAATAGAAATTTCTGCGAAAACGGATGGAATTTATTATGAAGAAAAACTAAATTGTTTTTAGTTCAGTTCAATAAATATGATCAAAATAATGAGGAAATGTAATAGTCACTTATCTCAATGATTTTATTTCTCACCTTCATTTGAAAGTTTTAATGGAAAACTAAGCATCAAATACCATAGGTTATAGGTAATTCCAGAGAAATGACAATTCCTCCTTTAGATATTTATTACATTTAAAACATAATCACTGTATGGAGGTTGTGCGTACATATTATTGATGGAGATATTTAATACAGAGCATAAAATGCTTACCTTATGGTAACGGGCTACAAGCTTTCCTTCGGAGTCATACACAACAGCAGTATTATAGTTAAACTGACCATCATTTGGACAGCCAGCCTCGGAGATGTTACAATTTTTTTTGTCCCCCATATTAGCAACTACATATATAGAGTTGTCCTTTGCCATACAACTCAGTCTTGTCTGCACTGGTGCTGGGCCAAACCTGCAATACAACATTGACAAAATAATTTCTTTAATGGTTTTGTTTTAACTGATTGCTGCATACTGTATGTTTAATACATTTTACATACAATATAATCATCACCGACACAACATTTTTTTGTGATTTATTTGAAAAGAAAATAATTTACTTTAACAAGGGTATACAACTTTTTTAGATAGGGTGCCAGTTGACTGACTGAAATTCATAACAGAGGCCACTGCCATATGATGTCTGTGATGGTTGTGCTTAATCTTGGAGGTGATCTTTCTGATGTCTGATTGTAGTTTGTATGCTCATCCTCCCCAGTTTTTCCGCAGCTTCACCTCACCTTTACAATCACCCTCCTTCCCTTATGTCTTTCCCCATCACCCCTTCCTTTGTGTGTCTCTTTACCATAATATAAAGAGGATTTCCTGTGCCTATGCCCTTTTCACACTATGTATGACGCGTCTTTACATAGCCCCCATTTTACATTGAAAGTCTTCTCAGAAGCAACATATATGGAAGTCAACCACACCCCCCCTTAAGATAAAAACAATACAAGAAATGGTGGATTGGCGCTATAGAGCCAGAGAATATGCAACTACCCCCAGTGCCCAAAATCACTAAATGGCACTCAAATACAAAGTGATAGAAAAAAGAATATAAGGAGGGTGCACATAGAACAATAAGAAGGTATATTATACTTAATATAAGTGGAACACTTCCTGTTAGACCTATAATAGAAAAACACATATATAGTGTAACACTGTTATATACAAAACATTAATTGGTCTCAGGTATTGGGTCACTCACAGTGTGTAGAGCCACATAAAGCTGGCTCTAGCTTAGATGGCAGGTGAATAATAAGCTTATTCTGGCTTTCGATTTTCAGCTTTCCAAATAGCTCTGCTCCTTTTCTCCGCCCTTTAATAACTTCCAGGACATCCAGTGTCAATAATCAAAAAGTGACTTTACTGGTTAAAATAAAGGATACAGAAAAAGCTAAAATAACATAACGAAATACACAGCACTAACGCGTTTCGACCTCCAGGTCTTTATCAAAGTGTGTGGTGAGTGTTGGTCTTCTTCCTTTTAAAATTGGCATATTCTCCAACAAGATAAAATTGGCATATTCTCCAACAAGATCATGAAATTCTGCCTTTTTTAGAAAATTGGCATATTCTCCAACAAGATCATGAAATTCTGCCTTTTTTAGAAGATAAACGTAAAGTTATATTTAGGGGAGCTAAAAGTATGAAAAATATACTCACTAAAAGCTATATAGATATACCAAAGAGTAATTTTCTAGAACTATACAAAGATACCAAAAAAGGATTTTTTCATTGCGGAGATTGTATGGGCTGTAGGAACCATAAACAAGTTAAAAAGGCTTTATGTGGCTCTACACACTGTGAGTGACCCAATACCTGAGACCAATTAATGTTTTGTATAGAACAGTGTTACACTATATATGTGTTTTTCTATTATAGGTCTAACAGGAAGTGTTCCACTTATATTAAGTATAATATACCTTCTTATTGTTCTATGTGCACCCTCCTTACACCCCCCCTTCACCAGTCACACATATGGCTCTGTGTATGAGTAGAGAGTAGGGGATGATAGTGTCACATATTCATCCGCTTATAGAAATGTGGTTAATGACATTTACTGTCCACACAGGAAAAGTTGTGCCGAGCAGCAACCTAATCCACAGAAGGGTTAATGCTGAGCAGTAATTGTGCAAATGAAACCTGGTGTCATGTATTCATCCGCTTTGAGAAAAGTGATTAATGATATTTACTGTCCACACAGGAAAAGTTGTGCCGAGCAGCAACCTAATCCACAGAAAGGTTAATGCTGAGCAGCAATTATGCAAATGAAACCTGGTAACTGACTTTGGGGTCAAAGGCCGGTTACAGCCTATCGGAACTAAAGGAGGGGTATTTAGGCCCAGTTCTCAGCCTGCTCAGTGCCCTGTCGTGGTTTCCCTTGTGGTTGTCTGAGATCGCGTTCCTGTTTATAGTTTTCTACCTGGTTTTTGACTTTGGCTTTGTTTATTGACTTCCCTATATTCTGGTATCCTGACTCCTGGCTTTCCTTATCGCTGTGTCCCTTTCTGTGTTCCCTGACCTCGGCTAGTATTTTTGACTATTCTTTGTACGTTAAATCCGGCCATTCTAAGGACCGGTAATACGTTACTTATTTGTCATCCGTGCTGTACAGTTCTACGTGCTGGATCAAACAGTAATCCTGACAGATAGGTCATCTCTATAGACCCTGCCTCTCATCCTTCACACACAGTGCCAAGCTGTAAAGTTGAGAAAGAGATCTGTGACTAGGTCTCACATAATAGGGCATGCCATTGCTGTCTTTCCATTGGTCATCTGTAGTGATGCAATTTCCTTTTATGGCAAATGCGAATGCTCAGTTGTTGCTTTGGGTAATTTTGTATGCTGAGGGCTGCGGGCCAGTGGTCATGCATTCGTGGGCTGCATTTGGCTTGAGGACCAGAGGTTGTGCACCCCTACATTTAAGAACACCATTTTATAGTCTAGTTAGTGTAAGTAAATGACCATGCCAGCTTACTGTCTGTGGCAATTTTCCATGTTGAGCCCTGGTCTACTCCACATTAGTGTATGTGATGTAATAAATACTAATTTTATGGCAAGACAGGAGGCTTCATATTTGCTTATCTTTCTTTACTGAACCTCCCAGCAGCAAAGAAATAGTTAACAATAGTGTAAAAACAATTCATCAATCAGAGTGTATAACAGTATTATATGATGTCATCAAACTCCTCCCACGTCCTTTTTTCTTTGCTGCTTGCCTCCCAGGTGAGTCTGCTCCAATTATATTGCCTTATGGTTTTTGCCTTTAATGCAATATTTCAACACATTTTCTCATTAATTTGTTACATTTTATAGCACCCATATCTCTATTATCATTTTAAAATAATTTTCTGTGGTAATGTTTTGTTTATCAAACATTAATTTTCACTAGTTTCTCACACAATTTATTGTCAGTACACAATACCCTTACTACATATAATTATACCTAACATGTTGGTTTATTTACATCTCTGAACAGTTTTTAAACTTTATCTCCATTGTTCCCCTTTAAAAATCGTTGGGGTTTGCCTCCGCGATTTTATCACATTTGTGGCCGCGGTTTCCTCTCGATTCTGATTCCCAATTCCCAGGAGTCCGCGGCTCAATTTTGCACTCTTTCTCAGATCCCCCCTTCTCCCGCCTGCAATTACCTGACGCGCTTCCTCCCGCCCTTTTGCTGGCGGCCATCTTAAACCGCGGTTTACCTTGTTATTTATGTGCGATCGCTTCACCTCATGGATCCGGTAAGTATCTTATTTACTTGTTGCTCATAGCACCCTTAAAGGGCTACCACCTTTTTCCAAATTATTCTTTGTACCTATTTGTTTTTCTTGACAGGAAAATACCTGCTGTATCTTATCATTATTAAATAAAGGACAGCCTTGTGGGTGACCCCCACATTTTTCTTTGTCACTTGATTCATTGAATGTTGTTGTGGGTGACCCCCACCTTTTATTCACTTTTTAATTAATTTATGACAGGTGTCTCAACACCATTACTACAAGTGAGTGACCCTCACCTTTGCACTTTATTAAATATTTTACAGACATACTCTTAAAAGTCTGACTACTGAGTGGTGAACCCCAGTTCTTATTGTTACAGTGGTACAACCCACTTATATAATTTAGTGGTCTACCCCACTATATATTGTGTGCCGCCCTTATATATCAAACTACGCTTATTTGGGTGACCCCCTACTTAGAAATTTTACCAAGCACAATTGGGTGAACCCCAGTTAACATTCTTGTCTTACGACTATTTGTCAGAATCACTAATACAGTGCTAACTAAAATGTCTGACAATACTGAGCCCGCAATCTCTCAGGAACTTAAAGCTTGGCTGGTTTCAACCATTTCTGAATTCATCCCCTAGGCGTTAGCAGCCTTCCATGAAAAGACTCCTGGCGAAGTCAATCCCACCGCACATTTACTCTCTGACTCAGAGGACTCTCAGCCCTTGGATCAGGAGATCACACGTCCTTGGAAAGGGAATAGTGTGTCTGCGGGCAAGGGCAAGGCTCCTGCCAAGTCTCAAAAATTAACTGTCACTCGCCCCGCCCAAACTATATTCGACCCCTTGGAGGGTTCCACTTCTCAAATGGGCGATAGGGTTGAGGATTACTACCTTGGCTATTCTAATGAGGACCCCTAGGCGATTGCGCTAGGGGATACCCCATCGGAATTTGTCAAGGAGACATTCATTACCAAAAGGACACAGATGCAAACATCTCTATGCCCAAGGGACCCGACTCAGACACCCTTCTGGATGCCTCGGGTGTCCCTTTTTTGGACCCTAGGGTCATTAGACATCTACGTTCGGCCAAATGGGCCCCACCTGACCACATCTCTAATTTTTGCAAGATGTGGCTGCGTAAGCCCCTTGAAAAAGAAATAAGGGCTAAACACAGAGCTGAATGCCCTCGGCCAACTATACCAAGTAAAGTGGCTCTCACGCCAGAGTTTGACCCGCTATTTGTGACCTTCCTCACTAAAACAGGGAAAGACCCTCGCAAGGGTATTGAGCAAGGTCTTAAGACAGCCCAGGACAAGCTCCTGGATATCGCTGGTCCCATCATCCAAATTTTCATACTAGCTGACGAAGCTATAACTAGTGGGGAGTTTGACCCTCACACAGTCCGAGAATGGGCCCAAAGAGCCCCATGTTTCCTGGGCAATGCAAATGTGGCTATATCCACTGAGAGACGTAGGGCGGCACTATATAAACTCAATGCTAAATTAGTAGACTTAAGCTCCCGAGAACTGGGACCAGAAGCCAATGGCTTGTTATTTGGGGACTCTTTCATGAGAGATCTGTCCAAACGTGCAGCGGTATTTACTACCTTAAACAAGGCCCAATCCTATTTCGATCCCAGTCAGGTCATTTTTCTGGGAGAGCTGGACATTATAGAGGCCGAATGAACAGCAGAGCTGCCTTCACAGGCTACAGGCCTCGTCCCTCAGAATACTACTGGAACTCGGGACCCCGTCGACCCTACCACAGGCAGTTATTCACCAATAGAGGATCCATTCGGGGACGTGGATCTGCCTCCTTATGCGGACGCACTGCTCCAGGTAATAAACCTTCCTTTTTTCAATGTACCTATAGCAGGTCGACTAACCCATTTTTTCCAACAGTGGGAACTGCTTTCACAGGATCTATGGATCCTACTCACAGTCAAGAGGTTCAAAATAGATTTCCTTTCCACTCCCTTCCAGGACACACCACCTACACCATTTTGGATGTCTGCAACAGACAACCTGGCATTACACACAGAATTGAACAAACTGGTGGAAAAAGGGGCGATAGAAAGATCACCCTTCCCACATACCTTTCTAAGCAATATTTTTCTGGTCCACAAAAAATCTGGAGACGAGCATCCAATAATCAATTTGAAAGACCTTAATCACTATGTCAGATATCATAATTTCAAAATGGAGGGCATCCATCTCCTCAGGGACCTCCTTTGAGTGGGAGACTGGTTATCCAGATCCGATCTCAAGGACGCATATCTCACTGTCCCTGTCGCCTACAACCATCTGGCTTTTCTTCAATTCCTCTGGCAAGAGGAAATTTGGCAGTTCACATGCCTCCCGTTCAGTCTTTGTTCCGCACCATGGTGTTTCACAAAGCTGATGAAACCAGTGATGGCGCTACTCCGATCACAGGGGATTCGTTCCATTGTATATTTGGATGACATCCTGATAATGGCTCAAGATCCAGACCTTTTACGTCAACACACGGACATGACGACGGCCTTATTACAAAACCTAAGTTTTGTAATCAACTTTCAAAAATCGGACCTGGAACCTTCTCAGAAAGTTCAGTTTCTCGGATTCCTAAAAGACTCCATACAGGCGATTTTAGAACTACCTTCTACAAAGGTCAAGGCTATAAAGAAAGACATTTGCAAATTGCTATTAGCCCACCAGATTCGCCTATGTGATCTGGCTCATACCATAGGCCTGTCTGCCTCTATCCGAGCCATTTATCCAGGACCCCTAGATTACAGAGCCATGCAACGGCTCAAGACTTACTATCTAAACCGGTCCACCTTCTATGACCAACTGATCTACCTAACAGACGAAGTCTGTATAGAACTTCATTGGTGGCTTCACGACATGGAAACCTGGAATGGCAAACCATTTTCGGATCACAACCAGACTTCGATGCCAGTCTCTTGGGGTGGGGCGCTACGTGCTCCGAAAGGTCCACCGGGGGACTATGGTCCCCCTCCGAACAAGCACTGCACATCAATTGCCTAGAATTGATTGCAGGATCTTTTGCGATTCGCAGTTTCGCAAAAGATTGTTTCAATTGTTCACTAGTACTGCGCATGGACAACGTCTCTGCAGTGCGTTATGTGAATCGGTTAGCAGGTTCCCGATCCAAATTACTGTCCGACCTTACCAAGGAACTCTACCAATTCTGCCTAGAGTGGAATTTATCCATCAGAGCAGAATATCTTCCGGGCATGGACAACCTAGTCGCAGATTGGTTCTCTCGTCATTGGAGGGACGTAAGCGACTGGCAATTGGATCCCCGCTTGTTCTATCAAATTTATTGTCTTCGCGGGCCCCTCACAATGGACCTGATCGTGTCTCGGCTGAATCACCAGATGAAGGCCTTTTTCAGCTGGCTCCCAGATCCCCAGTCCTGAGCAGTCGATGCCTCCCTACACCTAGGCCGGAGACAGGAGCTTATGCGTTACCGCCTTTCTCCATGATCCAGCGCACCCTTTACCGGGTCAAAGCCCTAGTAGTGACGATAGTTATTGTCACTCAGCTATGGAGAGCCCAGACTTGGTTTCCAACCCTGCTAGAACTGTCTGTGAATTGTCCAATTCTACTACCTCAATCCCCCGACATCCTCAAGAATCCAGCAGGGCGCTGTCACCCACTCGCCCTTCAAGGGCAGCTCTAGCTTGTAGCTTGGACCGTTTCAGGGGATCCTGGAATGTCTCGGGACTTTCGGAGACAGCTCAGGCCCTCCTATGGGACTCCTGGGCCCCAGGCAAAAGAAGAGCTTACCTCGCTGCATGGCGGACATGGGTCAGCTGGTGTTTGGTAAGGGATACCGATCCCTTTTCAGCATCTCTGACGATCATCCTAAATTTTCTATCTACTCTCTTTGATCAAGGCAAGTCCTATAGATCAATTATTGTTTTTAGATCTGCTATTTCTGCGGCCCACAACCCTATTGACAATGCATCAATAGGAAAACACCCTTCAGTTTGTAGACTTTTACGAGGGATCAGGCTAGCCAGACCCCCTCTTCCTAGATATTCCAATTTCTGGGACGTCACTCAGGTTTTTTCCCTTTTAGACTCCTGGCCCTCTAATGAGAATTTGACGTTACGTCAACTCTCTGCAAAACTGGCCTTACTCCTATGTCTGGTATCATTCCGTAGGGTCTCCGACATTCGAGCATTTGATTTCCATGCTGTAGTTTTTTCGCCTGAGGGCGTTAAATTTCACATCACCAGGCGAACGAAGACTAATTCCTCCTCTGTATTCTACCCTTACTTTCCGAATAGACAGTCGCTTTGCGTGGCGCTCTGTGGCACTATATAGATGCCACAACCACTCTGCGTTCCCCTACAGGACCCCTTCTTGTTTCCTATGTCAGACCACACAAACCGGTGTCCGCTCCCACCGTCGCACGGATCAGATGGATACTAGCCCAAGCAGGTATTGACTCCTCTTTTGGAACGCATTCAGTCAGAGGAGCAGCCGCATCCTCAGCCTTTCGTGCGGGTAGTTCCCTCTCAGACATTGTCGTCTGCAGATTGGACCAGTGAATCCACCTTTAATACATTCTATATCAAACCTATGCCACATGCTGCATCTTCTATCATATAAGAGCGTTAAAACAGCAAATATAAAGCCTCCTGTCTTGCCATAAAATTAGGGATTATTCCCTAGTGACTGAATAATCTAAATTTTATTAACGAATGTTTTTCATTATCATTTGTACCCGCCCTAAGGTAAGTTACTAAAAAAAAAAAAATTCTAGTCGATCTGTTTCAAACACATTCACACATCATCTGTCATAGGTTTACACCACAACACCAAGAGTTTGACATACTCAACATCATTTTACATGAAATCTATTGAAATTGCTGTCCCTAGTATGCATGCCATAAACTTGCATTCAACTATTATGAGAACCTATACTCTCATGGTTTTTTTCTCTACTTCCCTTTAGTGTGAAGAATCCCAACGCTTGTGATATATGGATTCATCAATCCCGTTGAAAGTTTACATGGCTGACTACATCAGGACCTTGGATTGGTCACGGTTCATAGTTATAGTTTACATGGTTGATACCCGGATATCGTTGGCTACAGCAAGAAAGAGGACTTGGGAGGAGTTTGATGACATCATATAATACTGTTATACACTCTGATTGGTTGAATTGTTTTTACACTATTGTTAACTATTTCTTTGCTGCTGGGAGGTTCAGTAAAGAAAGATAAGCAAATATTCGCCTCCTGTCGTTAATAAAATTTAGATTATTCAGTCACTAGGGCTAGAATAATCCCTAATTCTTGTCCCATTGCTTTCCTCATAATCACCGCTGACTTTAAGTGCATTTTCTTTTCATATAATTTACCTTTTAGGGTCATTGCATGGGATCCAGTTCATGTCAGGATCTGGAATATCTTCAAGGTAAGGACTGATAGTTTCTCTGCTGAACTGCCAGCCATAAATCCCATCTTCAGGTGTAACAATTAAATGTGCACCCTGAAAGTAAGATGCAATAATTTGTACATGTGAACATTGAAAAATATAGTTTAAGTGTAAACATCTGTTTATACCTTTATTTATTTTTTCTGTTCCCCTCCTTTGTCACTCCTCTTCTTTAGTCTATAGTGTAATCAGGATGGGGACCCCACTAGGCTTTTTTTAGTCTTGTTTTATAACTAATTTAGTTTCTCAGACTGTCATAATAAGGATTTTCATGTAGCCCACTGTCTCCTCCAGTTACTGCACATATATTCTTAGTTTAAACATTATTTACCTTTTTATGAAGTTATTCCCATTTGTCTACTTCTTTGTTGTCATTAGTTATTTCCGTTATATCCTAATAATGTTTTTTTTAACCTTTTTTTTATTTTATTCTGCAGCCCAGCAGAAAAACAACTAATTCCAAAGGGTTTACATATTCTTGCCACTTTATCATATTTACAATATGCCCAGCACAAATGTAATGTGTATGCAAAAAAAATATTTTTTTTACCATAAACTCTAGCATAGACCAGTGAAAAAATGGAGGCATGTTAAGGCACAATATAGACCTTATGAGATAGCCTAGGGTGTCTACTTTCACACACGGTAGGCCTATATTTGGTTATTTGAACAGTCGAACTGCTGTAATGCCTGAAAATAAGACATAAGCCCATCAAACCCATCTATCAAAATGTTAACTGCAGAAACTGAAACAGTCAGGTCTCTTGAATTGCATTGTAACTTCATAAGATAGTATCAAAGGCATACATTGACATAACATTTAGCTGAACACAATTTGGGGTTTTGTACAGGAGTAGCACAGATTTGGTGTTTCTGAAAGACACATTAAAATAACCTTCTTATATGTGTGTATGTAAAAGAAAAAAAAACACAATTTACTATTTGACTATTGACAGTTAAATGGCTACATAGAAAATGTCAAAATACCCTTAGGTAAATATCCAGTGATGTCTACTTTATAGAAAAACTTTTTTTTGTGGCAATTTAGTTTTCTGTGATGGCTACTAAACTTAGAAGACGATCATGAGCTATGATAATGTTTTATCACATACTGGCTTCTTGATTGCTATGACAACCAGCTGGCATGCACACTGCTCTGAGAGCTGGCTTATAGGAGGGAGGGAACACCCATTTTCGTATGGATATTAATATGTGTACATTTTATGACTGTGTAATTTGGCCTGATGATAGTTCTGTATAAAAACAGAAACATTGACATTTTAGACAGCTGTAAATAAGTTAAGTCTTATTTTTTGAAGTCTGAGTGTTCTACCTTTTTGAAACTTGTATATATTACTTGTGCGCATCATCTGCCTATCTCAAGTTGGACTTTTCCACCACTATCTGTGCTTAACATGAAAATAAGCACAGACAGACATTGTCTTTCTGACTTCATCCTGCATTTTAGCAGGTACCCTTAGCAATTGATGCTGTTTTATGCACAGCATTTTTTTAAACCCTAGCATGGGTTGTACTCCTAAACAATCAATGACCAGATGGATCTCATCATCATGGCACCGGATCATCATGAAGTCTCTTTGAGACCAGATCCGGGCCAAAAAGATTGTAGTGAGACTAAACACAATAAAACTGGGGTTTCTTTGTAGCAAGACTGTAACATAAAAAAGAAAAATATGAAGGAGTCTAAATACCCCTGAAATGTACTATACATATATATACACAACAGTAAATATTGTAAAATGGAAATATCACCAATAAGAAAATTTGTGCTACCATCATACAGATAGCAATTGGTAATAACCACATAATCAGTAACTCAAAGAAAAATATTGAATCAAAGCTAAACGTCTAACACACCTGTACACACCTACCCAGTATATTTGTTTCATAATCTGTTCACACGATTTTTTATGCATAGCTCATAAAGGATTATAAAGTTCCCTCTTTTGTATTATAGCATGTTATAGCTAGTTTTTCAATTGCACAGTGTTAGCTTGAGGTTGGTATCCAAACAGTGAGGTAATTCACCACTTAATATGATTATATGATCTTAACTGCAATATGCACTGAATTGTTATCATGAGACTTACCTGTCACCCTGAAACAGTATTGCAGGTAATCTAAAATCGGATTATTTTTTTTAATGCGTTTGGGTAAATAAGTAGGTAAATAAAAAGAGGGTTAATGGAGAGGGTTAGCAAAAATAATAATAATGGATTATAAATTACCAGATGTGTTATCTCTGCTCACATAGCTTTGTTTTTGCTATCTTTGATTATAACCTGTACATAGTAAATTGATTGTATATAAAACATATATACTACCTGCTGTGCTGCTGCTTTGGTTGCATTTTCCAAGATGTCTATGTTCCTGTTCATGAGTTCCAAGGCTTCTTGTTTTGTAACAGGGGTCTGTGTACTGTCTGGTAGTATAACAGCATGTTCATAGACTGCTGCAATAAATCTCTCTAAACTTTGGGCATAGCTGACACAAACCAACACAGAGACAAAATAGTGTACGGCAACCATTCTGGAAGTCAGCATTCACTGCTCTCAAACTAAGATATTCAACTGTTCAAATGTTATCTCTTTTTAGACAATATAGTGCTTATGTCACGCAAGGCAATACTCTGCATAATCTAAAGATGATAAAAATACTGGGTCTGTCTGTTGATCGTAGCATTGCATACTTGATTGTGTAATATCTGTCAGTGATAACACACACAGCAAACAGGAGAACTCTGTAACCTGACTTAATTCAATAACTAAATCCTCTATAATCCTTTATTCTAAATAATTTCATTTTGACTCAGAGAGTGTCTTTATCAAGCCTAATTCTACCCACTGGTTACAAACCCAACATAAAGAGCAGGATTCCCTTAGCAGAGTAAGGGTTTACTCAACTTACTGAATAGCAATTTTCCCAAACAGTTATATTGAGGAAATTATATTATGTACGCAGAGTAAACCTTTACTCTACTAAACCTTTACTAAGCTCATGGTTGAACTAGTCGGTAAGTGAATCCAATATCTAATCAATGCACAGTAAAGAATATTGCCAGACATCAACCAGGGACACTGCTTCTGTGTAAAAAAAAATGCATTTAACATCAATGCTGGATTGATATAAATATTTCATAAACATGTATCTACATTATGAGGAAGTGTGGTACAAATATATGCTTGTTATGTGCACAGGTTATATATACACTGCTCAAAAAAATAAAGGGAACACTTAACCCCTTAAGGACGGAGCCAAATGTACACGTTGTGAACAAAACAAAATGTAAACAAAACCTGGCATTTGCACTACATGTCTGTCCAACCGTAATTCACCTCTTTCATAGTAAATGCACCCACCCTTATTATATATCATTTTATTCAGGGGAAACAGGGCTTTCATTTAGTATCAAATATTTAGCTATGAAACATAATTTAATATGAAAAAAATGGGAGAAAATAAGATTTTTATTTTTATTTTTTTAGTTCTACATGACATTTTAACGGTCAGTGTCATAATACTGTTTGTTTTTACTGCAATAAAATACACATATTTGTATTCAGTAAAGTCTCACGTGTAAGACAGTACCCCCTATGTACAGGTTTTATGGCGTTTTGGGAAGTTACAGGTCAAATATAGCACGTTACATTTGAAATTGAAATTCGCCAGATTGGTTACGTTGCCTTTGAGACTGTATAGTAGCCCAGGAATGAAATTTACACCCATAATAGCATACCATTTGCAATAGTAGACAACCCAAGGTATTGCAAATGGGGTATGTCCAGTCTTTTTTAGTAGCCATTTGGTCACAAACACTGGCCAAAGTTAGCGTTAGTATTTGTTTGTGTGTGAAAAATGCAAAAAACGCCAATTTTGGCCAGTGTTTGTGACAAAGTGGCTACTAAAAAAGACTGGACATACCCTGTTTGCAATACCTTGGGTTGTCTACTATTGCAAATGGTATGCCATCATAGAGGTAATTTTCATTCTTGGGCTACCATAGGGTCTCAAAGGCAACGTAACCAATCTGGCGAATTTTAATGTGAAAAAAATGAAATGCAAGCCTTATATTTGACGCTGTAACTTTTGAAAACACCATAAAACCTGTACATGAGGGGTACTGTTGTACTCGGGAGACTTCGCTGAACACAAATATTTGTGTTTCAAAACAGTAAAAACTATCACAGCAATAATATTGTCCGTGTAATGCTGTTTGTGCGTGAAAAATGCAAAAAAGTCACTTTTACTGGCGATATCATCGTTGTAATACATTTTACTGTTTTGAAACACTAATATTTGTGTTCAGCGAAGTCTCCCGAGTAGAACAGTACCCCCCATGTACAGGTTTTATGGTGTCTTGGAAAGTTATAGGGTTAAATATAGTGCTAGCAAATTAAATTCCCTTTACTTTCGGCATGGGTTGTCAGGCAGGTCCCGCTAATTGTAATTAATTAAGATACCTAATTATGTAAAAATATTACATAAATATATATGTAGAATTAATATATGTATATATATATATGTGTATATATATGTATATATCTATATAATTTTTAAAATATTTTTATTTATATATAGGTATATATATAGTGATATATACGTATATATTTATGTATATAGATATATATATTATTTTGTTCTACGTGTATTTTGATATATATATATATTAATTTCACAATACAGTTAGAACGAAATAACACACATCTATATATTTTTTAATTATTTTTAATTATTTTTTAAATTTTATTTTTTAACGTATTTACATTTGAATTTTTTTTTTATATTATATATAAATATATATATAACAATAATTATATATATATATTTAATCAGTATCAGTCTACGTGTAATTTGATATTAATATATATATATAATTATATATATATTAATAGTAAAATACACCTAGACGGTGTACATGTGTGTATGTATATGTGTATATATATACTTAGTTCATATATATATAATATATATATATGATATAAGTATATATTATTTTTTTTTTACACCATTTATTTGTTTTAATTTTATTTTCAGCCAGCAGGGGGACCACCTGTCATTACAGGCAGCCCCCCTGCTGGCAATACAGAAGCCAGCTATCCCCGGCCATGTGATTGTGGGGTCCTCGCAAGGACCCCACTCTCACATGGCCGGGGGGCTTCGTGGAGGACGGAAGTGCCGCGGGGGGCTCCCTGGGAGTCCCCCCCACCGGGACCGCCGGCGACCGGGTAAGCACCGAAAGAGCGGAGGGCGTACTATTACGCCCGGCGGCGTTTAGAGCCACCTATAATAGGGCGTAATAGTACGCTCTCCGGTCTGAAGGGGTTAAACAACACAATGTAACTCCAAGTCAATCACACTTCTGTGAAATCAAACTGTCCACTTAGGAAGCAACACTGAGTGACAATCAATTTCACATGCTGTTATGCAAATGGGATAGACAACAGGTGGAAATTATAGGCAATTAGCAAGACACCCCCAATAAAGGAGTGGTTCTGCAGGTGGTGACCACAGACCACTTCTCAGTTCCTATGCTTCCTGGCTGATGTTTTGGTCACTTTGGAATGCTGTCGGTGCTTTCACTCTAGTGGTAGCATGAGACGGAGTCTACAACCCACACAAGTGGCTCAGGTAGTGCAGCTCATCCAGGATGGCACATCAATGCGAGCTGTGGCAAGAAGGTTTACTGTGTCTGTCAGCGTAGTGTCCAGAGCACGGAGGCGCCACCAGGAGGAAGGTCATACAGGCACGTGGAGGCCACACACTACTGAGCCTCATTTTGACTTGTTTTAAGGATATTACATCAAAGTTGAATCAGCCTCCATGGGTTGAAAAATTTGATTTCCATTTTTTAATTTTTGTGTGTTTTTGTTGTCAGCACATTCAACTATGTAAAGAACAAAGTATTTCAGAAGAATATTTAATTCATTCAGATCTAGGATGTGTTATTTTTGTGTTCCCTTTATTTTTTTGAGCAGTGTATATTGTTTATTGTTGGAGGGACCTGGGTCCCCTTTTAAGGGACTCCTATCCTGTCTCCCACGCGGTTACCTGGTCTGGCAATTTGCATGGGGCTCCTTCTAGTCACAGACAAACCTCCATTTTCAGCACTTACCCTGACTCCACGTGGACCTTCTCCTCGGCTTACTGACTCTCCTCTGGATGAAGTGTTTTTCCAACTTGGCTTAATTTTTCCTGAGAAGTCTGCTTCATCTCCCAACTTGACGGAGCCTGCTGGAAGCTCCCTCTGAAACGTGAGTCATTGGGCTTATCCATCGCAGTCGCACAGCGTCATCACAGTTTGGCTCTGTTTTACTTATTTTATTTACTTAAATGCTCGATTTCGTGTTTCATTTGTTTCTTTTCTGTTCTTTTAAATATTCACACAAATGCTTTGTCTGCTTAATCTATACAAAGGGGGCATTTGGGACTTAAAACTCACAGGCATATGACTTAGATATTGTACACCTGAGTTGGCCTTCATGGCTCAGGTCTCTCCATAACTATTCATTGTATCATTCACTTTATCAGGTTCCATAATCAGGACTGCTGTTTTTGCTTGAATCACTACATTCAGGATGGGCTCTGGTTTACTTCGCTATCTTCTGGTTCATGGGCCATCACTCTTTATAAATATTATGTTTTCATTTTAAAGGTTATGGGGTGCTTATCATTTCAGGGCAGCATTTGCTCGTCATACCTCGTACCTTGCTGGTTAGGTAGGTCTGTCACAAAATCATAATTATGTCTACGAATCTACGATCTGGCGATTACAATCCTTAGGTACAATGGAACTTTGGAACTCAAACAGTCCCTTTCTCGAACAATTCGGAAGTCAAACAATTCGGAAGTCAAAGACAAATTAGGGACTATTCTAGCTTCAGTGACCGAATAATCTAAATTTTATTAAAAACAGAAGGCAAATTTGTGCTATACTTCCTTTACTAAATCCTCCCAGCAGCAAAGAAATAGTTAAACAATTGAACAAAAAAAACCCAACCAATCAGAACACATCTAGTCAGTAATATATGGCCACGAGACTCCTCCCAACTCCTCTTTCTTGATGCAGCCGGAATATGATGTCAACCGTATTGTGACGAACTGAACCTCGTCACGAGTTCTTGGAGGGGCCTGCTGGCTAGCCTCTTACCTCAGGACTATGGCCCATGAATTTGGTTCAGGACTATGGAAAGGCTTTGTTCGTGCCTTTTCCCTTGTCTGGTTCGGTATTTAGGATTTACCGATCGGATTATACTTATGCTGTTCGTATGCCGAACCAACTACTGAACAGTTGGACCACCTGTAAGTGGAGTATGTCGCTTGTTAACCCTATTGACCTCGTTAACAAGCTCTAACCACAACATTCTAAGCGGTCGGCTGGGTGGCCGCTGTTCGTATGGACGAACACGTGGCGGCCGCCATCTTTAGCAGCGAACATATACAGCGGTGTTTGGTCGTTCAGTGCATGGAACGATAATCGGACACTCGATGGTGCGAACACCACTGGGACTTCCAACTCTTCATGAGTTCTGCCGGTCTTGAGAAGACCGGTGTTCGGTGGAGACATAGACTACATACAAACTAGTTGCATTCATAATTCTGATGTATTGTGAATGCCCGAAAGAGACCGACCGCACAGCCTGATTTCAGGGAACTCTTTTGGGAAGGAGCCTCGTGTGCAGTCAGTCAGATTATGACCGCCAGGGAAATCCCGAACCCCTTGAACTGTTCTGGGTAATTTTAGGATATGATGGTCCCACAGATCGGGGCTATTAGGGGTTTTCTTGTGTTTTAGGGGTACTTTTGGGAAGTTGTTAAAATGTATGTTTTCTGTGCTTGGAGATAATGGAGTTTAGTACAGTTCCTGACTCAATTATCTCTCAGGCACAGGGGAGGGATTACCTTGTTTTT